ATAGGAATTAGATTCCTGTCACGTCCACCTCGTTGACCCCGGGTAACGCTAAGAGCAGGCTAGCCAGTTAAACGTACGCAAATAAATCCAGAATCTATTTACCGAATTTGATCTATAATACATGTAATTTTATATTTTGAAACACTACTAGATGAAAAAAATTTTTTTTTTAATTATTTGTAAATGTAATATACATTTATACTAAGAAGACTCGCATTTCTCCATTTTCGTAAGCTGCCGTCATTTCAAATTGACAGGTTTGATTTTGGAAAAAGGCCAAACAGCACGAATAAATGGTTTAATTTTCATTACTTTGATCACTGCGTTCCCATAGGATTGGTTAGCTTATGCTCAAATGTTTTCAAGCGATATTCATCCGCCATATTGGATCCGACATTTTGAATTTAGCAACTTTCATCCCGGATTTATATTTAGCCACTCCAAAATATTCTCATCACGACCGCAATTTTTATCTGATGGGTTCTACACTCTTCGATACGACATTTGAAATTCAGCTTTTCTAGGTTTAACTAACATTTCAATGTTCATGAATGTTTCTTTCGACAACGATACGTTTAATCGAAAAATCGCAAGAGAGCATTTGTATTCAAAATTTGACATAGAATATGATCATATTTTTGCAACTGTAAAATTTTCAGTTTTGATGTTTCATCCGCCATATTGCATCCGCTATGTTGAATTCTCAAAAAGGCCACACGGCTAATGAATGTCTATATCACAAAGAGTATTTAGAATCCCGGAAACATTTTTTTTGTTAAAACCAATCATGGAGAGAAGGAATAATTCTAATTTTTTCCCCTTCTTCCACGTTTACTGGCGCCATTCTGAATCCGCCATTGAGAATTTCCGAAAAGGCCACATGGCTAATGAAAGTAGACATCATCTAGAAAATTTTCAGCCCCGGAAAAAATTTTTTGGTTGAAACCAAATTTGGCGAGAAAGGGTGGTCGGTTTCGCAAAGAATGCCCCATGTATGTGTTAATAATCAAAACCCTGCTTTATAGTGACGTTAGAAATAATACAAGGAATACAGCCGAACAATTTGATGGTGATATATTACATTAACGAGGCAATATTTCTCATTTTCCAAAATTGTATGTGGCATACTGCAAATGTTAGGCGGCCTGATTGCGAAATCTGGCTTTGTAGAGACCTCGGGGATAGATCGAGGAATTGGTTATAACAATTTGGTGCTGTTATATGACAGCAACGAGGCAAAATATTTTTTCTTGTAACATGGTATTTCGCGGGATTCGCTGCGATGTTTCGTACGACACACGCTTTATTAATATATGATAAATTTTTGACGGCCGGAATGCAAAATCTGGCTCTGTAGGGACCTCGATAATAGTTCAAGAAATATTCCATATCAATTCGGTGGTTACATATATTACGCGAACAAGGCGGAATATCTCTTCTTGTGAAATTGTATTCGCGTGATTCACCTTGACGCTTGATGCATATTTATTTATTTATAATAAAAGTTAGGCGGCCTGATTGCGAAATCTGGCTTTGTAGAGACCTTAGAAATAGATCGAGAAATATGTTGTAACAATTTGGTGATAATATATGAGTGCAACGAGGCAAAATATCTTTTTTTGTAACATGGTATTTCGCGGGACTCGCTGCGATGTTTCATACAACGCTTGCTTTATTAAAATATTAGAAATTTTTGACGGCTGGATTGCAAAATTTGGCTCTGTAGGGACTTCGATAATAGTTCAAGGAATATTCCATATTTGGCGGTTACATATCGCCAATGAGGCGGATCTCTTCTTGTAAAATGGTATTATACGTGATCCGCTCCGACGCTTCATACATCTTTATTTATTTATAATACATTTTTCACGGCTTGACTGCAAAATCTGGCTCTGTAGGTTTCTCGGGGTTAGTTCAAAGAAGATGCTGTAACAATTTGGCGGTTAAATATATCGTTAACGAGGTGAAATTTTGCATCACCTACAATAATTTCTCGACTGATTCGCTCCAACGCCTGGTATGACGGATGGCTTTATTTATATATTATAAATTTTTTACGACCGGATTGCAAAATCCGGCTTTGTACCGATCTCGGAAATAGTACGAAGGAGATGCTGCAACAATTTGATAATAATACGTATCGTCAAAGAAACGAAACATTGCATCTCGTAAAATGATATTTCGAATGACTCGCAGCGATGATTGGCACAGCGGACGCTTCATTTATTTTTCATAAATTATGGACAGCTGGATTGCAAAATCTGGCTCTGTAGGGACCTCGATAATAGTTCAAGGAATATTCCATATTAATTTGATGGTTACATATATCGTCAACGTGGCAAAATATCTTATGTTTTACAGTGGAAGCTGGAAGGTATTCATACACATACACACGGTAATACTTATACACTGCTCATATATACACTACTAATGCATTGCTCGCGCGAACGCAAGGCGGGAAGGTTAGGCCATACAGACTGCACCTTAGTGCAGCTAGGCTACACTTTCCGTGTATTTTTCCGTGTAGCATATTTTGCCACGCAGACATCATATTTGCTTATCAGACTTACATAGACATCTTCCTTATATTAGTATCTAGGTCGGTACAGAGCCCGATTTTGCATTTAGGTTCTTGAAAATTTGTAATAAATGGAAATATAAGTTCGTGCTGCACCGCGGGATGCACTTTTATTCAAAATTTTTATTCGATTTTTATTCAGACCTTTTTTCCAAAAAAGTGCTCTGTACGAGCATGCGGACGTTTCTCCTGATTACAAATATCATACATATAAGGTGATTCTCTTCGTATTTTGTTCATAATTTGCAATATAATTTTGCCTAGTTCGCGAGTCTCCGCAAGAGGTCTCTAGTAGGCTCCTGTAGACCTAGGGCGTGCAAACTCTTAAGGCTCGTCTACAATAGCTGTAAGAGTAAGGCTGTAAGGTTGCAAGGCACGAAATGAAATATTTTCATTCGCTGACGTTACAGCCTTACAGCCTTACTCTTACAGCTATTGTAGACGAGCCTTTATGGAGCGAAAATGATTAGCGTTAGCAGCGCTCTCTGAGATGGGACATGTGAGAAATCGGAGCTAATTTGTGGCTACCATATTGCTACAGTTGCGTTCGCTTTAATGCTTTAGTGCTTTAAGCCTTCAATAAGAAAAAAAAGTGTTACGAAGAAGAGGTGTTACGAGGAAGAAGCACGAGAAGAAGCAGGTGCGAGAAGGAAAAACTTTTAATATTACTGCCAGTAATGACAACCAAAGTGTAAGTTTTGTTTTTATATATTGTATTGTATTTATATATAAATATTATGCAATAGTATAATTGTCCACTTTTTACTAACAGAAACTAATAAATAAAAAATAAAAGTAAGCTTTGCAATATGCTAACATAGCAAGAGCAAGTTTGATAAAGATTGTAGAAATTCTTAGCGATGCATGCCTGCATGAAGTTTGTGCTTAGCTTCTGCTGTTAATCTGCTGCTAAAAAATTTGATACACCTTGTGAACTAGCTATTTCAGCATATTGATGACTGAAAACAAGAAGAATATGTTATGACTATCCTTGAACGTAATGTCAAATCATGTTATATTAGCTGGTTGCTTTTTAAACATGAGCTGCATGCAGGCATAGATAGCTAAAATTTCTTCATGGAATCTACTATATATATATATATATATATAATTTATGAAGATATTTATGTACTCTCTCTCTCTCTCTCTTGCAGAAGGACTACAAGAAGACTTCAACAAGGGAAGAAGAAAAAACAAGAAGAAACAGTTACTCAAGAACCACCAAAATCTTTTCCCTGTTAGCGACAAACAACTTGTTTTATTTGAGTATGCATGATACTGTAATATTGTATACTGATGATGCAAATATCTGTTTAACTAAATACAGATTTATTTTTTTTATAGGTCATAACAGCGGGCTCAAGATGGTACGAGTATGTTGTGTACCAGGATGTTCGACAGGGAAGACAGCACCATTGCATAAATTCCCACGAAATGCTGAATGTAGGCTACAATGGTTCAAGAATTTGAAAATGGAGCCAGTGGAGGGACCTGAGGAGAAAAAGTAAAGTATGCCACAACCATTTTAGGGACAGCGATAATATACAATTTTATTATAAATTTCTTTTAATATTATTATAAAATTTAGTATTATTAACAAATTATTGTCCTTATATTTATGTTTAAGGTATTAATATTTTCTTTATGTATACATATTTACATTTTTTTCGTCAAATATATGCATTTCACAGAATACACATTATTTTCTGCATTTTTACTTCGCACTAATATTCCTCGTATTTCCTATATATACTACACGCACATACGTGTTAATATGTGTGCATAGACAGCTATACATACACACACATTGACACATGACGTCATATTGAATTTTAATATCACCGAAGAAATGTCCCATTTCAGAGAGCGCTACAAACGTTGGACGCTAAATATAAGGTCTGTTCGTTTTGTCTGCACTGTTGAACTGGTGCAACAAGTTAAAGTGAGAAAACCTATGTTTGTCTCACTTTAACTTAATGCACCAGTTCAGCAGTGCAGACAAAACGAACAGGCCTATACACGGGAGTTTAACGGCCCTGTGTAGACCCTTAGGCCCAGTTTCACAACTTGCTTTAAACGGAGTTTAAAGCTAAAACGATGGTTAAAAGCAATAGTATTTGCGCATATACTATTGCTTTTAACCATCGGTTTAGCTTTAAACTCCGTTTAAAGCAAGTTGTGGAATTGGACCTTAACCAGACTCAAATCACAGACACAAACCTCGTATCGTTACCGAGACATCGAGTTAGTTGACGTCTATTTTCTCAGGGGGCGTATCAGACATATGCTTTCGCCCAGTGACCGCTCTCAGGTTTCTCTCTGCTTGGGATAACTGTTTGAATAACCGAAATTGGCTATAACGGAAGTCGACTGAGCGCCATTCAACCAATAAACTATTACTGGATAACCGAATTAAATTGAAAGCACCGTGTGTTGCGAAACATTATCCTCAAGAATTGTTTTGTCCGGTCTTCCACGATGGAGCCTAAAGCCAAGGATAGTGTTTGGAATATAATCGTGAAGGATCTTTCGAGCATCCACAACCGACATGAGGAAATGGGGAATCATTTCAATGAGAATATCAAGAATCAAAGGGAATATTTACGAACACTGTTTGATCAGTTGTCGCAATCATCGTTTGTCCCGATTGTCACAAAAACGCCGAAGATTATAAGAAAGAAAGCATTTCCACGTATCGAGACTATACCAGAAGATGATGTGCTGCAAGAAGAGAATACTGCAACAAGTGATGCCCAAGCTATCAGTGAGAAAGGACAAGATGCAGACAACATTGCGAGTGGTAGAACAAAAAGAATGGCGTCTTTGAAAGCAGTGAATAATATCACAAAACAAAGTTTGCTTATGAACAGTACAAAACTAGGAATGCTGCCTGATATGATTGTCAATAGTACGGTAAAGAAGGTAGTGTAGCATTTTCATTTTTCTGTTATATTCTGTTTATTTATGATGTTATATAGTACTGTAATTGTAAAAGATAATTCATATCTGATTTCTTAATCTTAGAGAAAAAGAGAGAGTCAACTTAAGAGAAAGAAATCTGCTTGGAATAGTTCTGACGAAGATGAAGGTAAGGTAGTTTCTAAGTACAGTAAACTGGATAAGGATATGGAAGACAAAGAGTCAAGAAAGAAAACAACAGAATCAGAAAAGAAAACAAGTAGAAAAGTGACTGAATATATTGCTCAATCTAATGAGGAAGTAACTGAAAAGGTCAAGGGACAGAGTGCATCTCCAAAATCACAACATTCCTCTAGATCAGCATCTAAAAAATCTCAAGAAAAAGAAGTAAAGAAAGAGAACGATGCCATTATTTCTCCTATTACAGATGTTGTTGAAGACTCTATATATGAGGATGCGATAGGGAAACCAACTCCGATAATGAATTCAACCCTAAAATATAGTTCTGTTGTATCTGAGAAGATGCTAAATGCCACTGTGGTATTAGAACCTTTACAGCAGAGGAAATTAAACGAAACAGTTGTGATCCAAAAAGCATCCAATCAGTGGAACAGTAGGGAAAATAGCAGAGAAAAAACAAGTTTGGAGAAAGCACAGCAAAGCAATAAGCAGTCGAATATAGAAGCTGAAAAACAAGAAAAAACCTTAGACCTATATGATGAGTTAATTACAGATGATGAATCATCACCTGAACTAAAGAAATCGAAGAAACGGATTGCTAAGAAGCAAATGAAACCGACGATATTGAGCTCCGATGATGACGAAATCCCTAACACGCCTGTAAAGACTAAAAAAGAATATTTCAAAGAGCCAACTGTCTTGATCACACAGGATACCAAAATTACATACAAATCGAATGCATTGTTCAGTCCTTACGCGAAGGAGTCTGTGAAGAAAAGGGTCGAAGCATTTGAACAAGCAAGGATGCAGAGCCCAAAACCCGTCGATATAAATGTTCCTACCAGAATGACCAGAACGAAAACGCGCGCGTTGGCCGCCGCGGAAGCCGAAGCAGAAATGAAGAATGCAGATAAAAATTATACACAGATACTAGCTCGTAAATCGCTTGCGAAAGCCAAGAAAATAGCTTGCCTTGTGGAAAAGCAAAAGAAAGACAATGAAGAATTTAAAGAGGTAAGAATATTCGTGCAAACAATTATTTTCTACAATTAATACATGTGTACAAGTTTAATTTTCTCTATTAATTATTTCTCATTCTGTTGTACTGTGATTATACTTTTTAATAATGAATTAATTCTTTTCAGAACAAGGAGCAAATGTCAGAGAAAGTCAATAAAGTAATTAAATACGACAAGCTGAGTACATTGCAAATGCCACAATTAAAAGTGACACCTTTAAGCAAGCCGAAAATCATAATTCCAATGTCTGCAAATCGTCTTCAAACCCCGTCAAACATGCAAAATCTTGTGAACGTGAGATTAATTTTTAATTTCATCACCTTAAATGTTCTGTAATAAATTGACATATACTTTGTGATTTTAGCATGCGAAAGCTTTAACGGCCTCCCGCGGAAATATCGTGACTACCGTAGATTCTTTTATCCAAATTCCGAAAATCGCCAGCAAGAACAACTCCGCTGAGAAATTGGAAGATAAGAAACGATACGAGGAAGACGCACTGAAAAAGAGAAAGGAAACCTTGAGATTACAGATGGAGGAGAAGAGAAGGTATGAAGATGTGATAATTGCTAAAAAATAGAATTGATTCTGGAACTGCAATATTGTAGCTCTCAAGGAGTTTTTTCAATTTCTCGCGAACAATTAACTTCATGTGTGTATCTTGTATAACAGAAAGCGAGAGGAGAAGGAACTGAAGAACAAGTTGGCCAGAGAAGCCAGAGAGAAACAGGAACTGGAGAAACGGCAGAGAGCGGAGAAAGAGAGGGAGGAGAAGGCAAAGTTGGCTCAATTGATGCTAGAAAAGCAACGCGAGGAAATGGAGAAGAAGCGCCTGGCTCAATTGCAACGAGCACAGGAAAAGGAGGAACGTCGCAAGTTGGAAGAACAACAGAGATTACAGAGATTGCAAGAGCAAGAAGAGGCGGAACGTTTACTTGCCGAACAGAAGCGTCGGGAGCAAGATGCCGAGAGACGTAAAGAAATGGAAATGAGAGCCCAGCAACATGCGGAAGCAATGAGGCAGAAAAATATGCTGCAGGCGACTCAAGTTAAAGTAAATCCATAATATCATGTACAGAAGTAGAGAAGACACATAGTTTATTACATACTTTTCTTTTTTACATGAGAATAAGTAGCATATGTTGTACTCGATGATATTTAATGTTTTCTGCTTGGTTGTACATCAATTAGCATTACATTTGCCAAAAGCAGATTGAAGTCTGTAGTATGTAATCAACTAATCTGGTTAGTGAATTGTTACATCAAGTGAAAAATTGTTACTTAAACACAGCTATTACTAATCCGAGTAGATTAGTGTTTGATTATTGTATATTATCATCTGCGATCTAATTTTTACAGTACAAACAAGCTGCTAATAAGCAGCAGGGTACAACGAATTATGTGTTGGATAGTGAACCTGACGATGACGAGTCGGATGATGAGAGCAGACCGAAACACGAGATACCGTATTGGGCACAGTGTATGTATCTTTTCCAAGGAACTTTCTAAACTACTGATAAAATAGGCTGATTTAAATAGAGGCATGTTTCAGGGAAATCCATGCGTAATTTTAAATCTTTAAATTCTATTTTCAAATATCTATACATAAGTGGAGACACCTAAAAGGTCATCTGAATAACTTTGAAAAGATGCAAGATAGAAAAAAAATGTCAGATATAGAAGTTGTAAGGTTTTAAGTGACACATCACATAAAAATATTAGTGTGACCTTAGCGTCGTTACAGGACAGTCATCTTAAATTTTTTAAATGAAAGCTCCCATGTTTTATTACATCGTATTTTTCTTCTAATTAATTTGAACATTTATTAATTTTGAAATTTCCAAAGGTCATCAAGTTAACAAAAGTTAAGACACTGTTGTTACATCATACTCTTGAAACCAAATAGAGTAAAAAAATTCCATGCCACTTTTTCTTCCGATAAATAATTACCGAAATATCATAGCCAAATATTGAAAAAGTTACCAAATTTTTCCTTAAATATCTTAAAAAATATTTGGCAAATAAAAAATGTTTCAAATAAAAGTTGTTAAAATTAATTAGTAAAAAAGATGATATAATAAAAAATAAGAGTTTCCATTTAAAAAATTCAAGGTAACCTTTTCATAACTTTAAGGGGCGCAATCCATGTAATTTGACAAGAAAAAGACAGTCTTTTATGAATTGATTACAAGAAAAGTATTAAGCAGATATTTTTGAAATTTTCAAACGACTTAATTGGTATTTTAAACAAGTGAAAAATATAATAAAAAAATAATGTCAATATAGTGAATTTTAAAAGCAATTGTTGATACCAGTGGTTTCAAATGGTTTTCTGAAACCAAAAAATCAAATTGTTCCTAACTCTCTATGAACTTGGGCTGCTGGTAAACTTAAAAGTAAAGAGAAAAGTTGAAAGAAAATGGCATGACTTTAAAGTAAAAATTTCCAATTTTAGAGAAAATGGTTGTCTTCTTTCAAGACAAAGAATCGTTTAATGTAATTATTTAGTCAGAATTATAGGCTTACAAAAAGAGAATACTTTTATTTAGATATGTGCAAAAAACCGGAATGATTGGTTAAGTAGTTTTTGAATTATCATGCGAGCCAATTTGAGAAAACTACTTTCGAAAAAAAACGCGTTTAAAGTTTCGAAAAGCAAAAAGTTAAAGTTTTTAATTACTTACGGCAACTTAGTACTAATCTGCAATTATAGGACCGTACAATAGTCTTTCCTCTTCCTCGTACAATTCATTTTGCTCTAAAAGTTGCTGTCGAGCCAGTCGAGCCTCCCTGATGCTATTCAAGCTGCAGCGCTCCTGCCTCTTCAGTCGATGTTTGTCGTAGTTTTCAGCATAGGTTTTACGTAAGACTACAGAAAACATTTATTCTTTCTCTACCGATGCTTAAGAATCGCGTGACAAACACAATCCAGCGATTAATTTCAAATTTATTGTCGATAAAATTGATGTCTTGACCGCAACAACATACAAGTGCAAGTTTCAAACCGAGACCATGATTTCTTGCTCATATATCACATTTTGCTATACTCACGACAACTAAGATAGTTTGAAAGTATAGTAAAAGCAATACAAAATTCGATAATCTTGTAACAGTACATTGGACTTCAATTAATATTCTCACTGCTAGCATTAGATTTAGTTTCCTTGTACTCACACTCTGTCTTATATTTTCACCTTTTTTATCACTAAATTGATTGCCATGAAAGCATCTTTTTACTAGCATAGATACTTAGCTGCGTTGCTGCTTAGTTTCTTTCGGATACGACATTTTACCGATTAAAACTGTTCCGCACGGCCTAAAATTCGGAGCACGACTAACCATACGAAGTAAAGTAAACCAAATATTATATAAGTATAATATTTCACAAAGATCTGCTCTGCATCATATAATGGTATAGGGATTATAGAAGGACAGGTTCGTCGTGCGCTCCGAGTGCACGTCGGTATACTTGCTGCCGGCATTAATGCGCATAACGTTCACTAGCCGTAGCATCCGTAGGACTCAGAATTTCACTCTATAACTTTGAGGATATATTTTTGAGATGTTTTATTACTGATTTATGAAAAAAAAATGAATTTTTTGGACCAGTTACATAACCCCGTTAATGGCGTTGTTAAAGGTGTCATTAATATTGCTATATCATGCGTTACTTAAAATCTTATATTTACTTATTCTTTTTTTTCTATCTTGCATATTTTCAAAGATACTCAAGTGACTTGTCTTAGGTATCTCTTCCTATATATATTTGAAAATGAAACTTAAAGATTTAAAATCATACATACACATTGTATATAATACATGTATTTATTATACAAAGTGTCTTAAAAATACCGAAACCCCCGGATAACTTTGCAGGATCAAGTTTTCATGAAAAACTTTAAATACAAAAGTTGTAGTAGAAAATTGAGTAACGAACTTGATGGTGACCTTGACCTTGGCCATGATCTTCAAGGTCGTTTAAAGGTCAACTTGCGTTTTTTAAATGGGAACTCTTATTTTTTATTACACTTTTTTTTTAATTTGAACAACTTTTGTCTAAAACATTTTTTTTATTTGCCTAATATTTTTGTTTAGATATTTGAGGAAAACTTGATAACTTTTTCAATATTTAACTTACGATATCTCGCTAACTATTTTTCGGAAGAAAAAGTGGTACTAGACTTTCTTGCTTTATTTAGTCTCAAGAATATATTGTTACAATAGCGCCCTGACTTTTGTTAACTTACTGACTTTTGGAAATTTCAAAATCATCAAATTAACAAAAATCAAGGCATTAACAATATATTCTTGAGACTAAATAAAGCAAGAAAATTTAGTACCATTTTTTCTTCCAACAAATAGTTAGCGAGATATCGTAAGTTAAATATTGAAAAAGTTATCAAGTTTTCCTCAAATATCTAAAAAAATATTAGGCAAATAAGAAAAAGGTTTTAGACAAAATTTGTTCAAATTAATTGGTAGAAAAAAGTATAATAAAAAATAAAGATTCCATTTAAAAAGCTCAACTTTACCTCCAAATAACCTTGAAGGTCATGGCCAAGGTCAAATTCAAGGTCAAGATCACTATCAAGTCCGTTACCCGATTTTCTACAACTTTTGTATTTAAAGTTTTTCATGAAAACTTGATCCTGCAAAGTTATCCGGGGGTTCCGGTATTTTTAAGACACCCTGTATATAATATATATATTTTAAAAAGTATATATATATATATTTATTTATTTATTTTAAAAAAATTCTTAAATCAATTAAATTCTTTCAGCGCACGTGCGTAAGACACAACTTGCGATGCAACGATATATTCCCGAGGAAATAGTGTACAAATTTTTCGATACTCGTAAATGTACACCGGATTTGACAGAGTTATTCCATGGTATAGATCGAAATCGATTGAAGCGTACCTCCAGTGCAATCTGGAAAACGCCGCCGCGTTTTTCCATGATGGAAGGCGACTAGAGTTCTCAAATCGAACCACGGTTATTGTAAATTTAATGTTGCACTTGCAGTTATCTCTAAGTGCAAACGACCAATGGTCGTTAAATATTATCTCATGCGATGTGGAGATGATGTTGTGTCATAATGATATCGTATGAACCAAGAAAAAATTCAATCATTCTATTCATTGTTATACACTAATGTTCACATGACAATAATGTATGTAACATGTATTTTATTCGACAATGTTTAGTATACCTTTTACTTATTTATATATCAATTAGTATAATATCTCTGCTGAAAGAAAGTTGAAGTCTTGTAGCATTAGTGAATTAATCGGTATTAGTAAGTCATATTGTATTAGTAGTCATTATATTGTATCGGTATTAGTAAATGATTACATTGAGAAGTTTTTATACAAATGGTTACTCTAGTAATTTAGATGAATTGATACTTGATTATACATCCCAGATATACATTACTTACGAAATACGTATATTATTGCTGATTTCTTATTAAAGATTCAACGTTGCGACAAAGTAGCCTTCGCAAACGTGTCTCTGCCTCTGTTCGTTACGATTGAATGCAGTGGCTTCATTGCCCTTCTTAAGTACACTTTCTTACTGAAATCAGAATTAGTATATGTTGGACGGACGTCTTGTGCGACACCTCTTTCCGATGACACAAAATGAAAATCCATACGTAAGTTCCATTTTCTGTCCGAGCAAGAGTGTTCTTTGCGCCTCTACAGATGTCAAAGGATAAACTGGTAAATGCGTATAAATCGGTATCTGCAAATACATCGTGTCGTAAGTACAAATGGACCTCCACAATAGGACGTACTACATGCACCTCTTCCTTACATATGGTAAAGTATTGTCCAATTTCAAGTATTCCCGATACGTTATGCTAGGAGCTTTCGATTCGTAGTAAACCTTCAAAGTTAGAAGATCTAACGTCTTGCCATACAGCAGTTGTCGCTCATTTTCCAGAATTTCTTTTGAAACTTCGACGTCTTCTGCTTCAACTTGGACTTGCATTTGCCTCATGCCGCCGCAAAGTACCTTCGTAAGATCACGAGATCACATATAGCCTGTCTCCCCGTGAACTCGTCAGTCTTACTTTCATAGTAGTCGAGCTGGCGGTTCCTTTAATGTCCGCCGGGATCCTGTAGTCCTCGAAGTATCTGCTCACCGGCACTGTGGGCAAAATTGGGCTCCAGTCTCTGAAGGTGCCGAGCGTCGATATATAACGGCCGTCGTAGCTCCACAAACGGACCGTGCAATCCGCACTGCCGCTAAATATGTCGGTTGCATTCTCGAGTCACGCGAAGACATACCTCGACCCTACGAATGTTCCTGTCTACCATGTACCTGACTATTATTCGCACACTGGAGATCATCTGGAGGGTAGTAATTCCCCGCGTGTGAGCCCGTACGGACGACAGCAAAAGCGGAAGTGCCTGCCCCCGTACCGCTCTCTTCGCTCTCCCGTCTATTGTGTCCCTCCATAAGAACGGGAATTGCAGCCTCAGCTGTGGCATGGACACTTTTGGCGGGTTCGGTCGCATATAATTGGAGAGCAACCAGACCTTGATGTACCCGATGCTGTGACCTGCTTGAGGAAGACAGAGAAGGACAGGAGAATAAAGTCACAAGTGTTTGCAAAAAATAGCAAAGAAATATTACAAGTTGTAAGAGACATTCAGCGCTGGGTTTATTTTATATCTTTTAACGACAGTGTCGTTATCTCTTCCACCTTTATACCTGTGCGATAACGATAACAATAACGATATTGTCGTGAAAAAAGTTATTAAAATAAACCTGCTGATATTACTAGTCGATCTATGAAACGAAACCTGTAACGAGGAAATTATTGTCAAGGTCGGTAGCCAACGACGTGGCACAATCGCCCACCGTGTGGATGACCGAGAAGGCACCCAAGAAACCTGCGGCTGGATGATGCGTCCACACCTGCACCAATCCGGAGTCCAGCGCGACAAACAGCGTACCGACATTCGGTGCCAATTCCCGCGCTATTAAGAAGATCATCGCGCGCACTGCAACCACGCGAACGATGTTCAATGCTGATTCTTGATGAGCGCACGGAGTCAATTCTCTGTCACGCAGGCATTCAATTCAGTTTTAGAGAGAGTGAAATGTGTCTTTCGCAAGCGGTATAATTTACTTCGCTGGCCGGTCTACTGTAGACCTGTCGAACTTGCTCGACTTTCCGACCTTGCTCAGCGCACTCGTTCCCGTCGCTTTAATATACCTGTTGAATCAGTCGATCTTTAGCTGTTAACGGCATTGCGTACGGCTTTCCCGCGCTAATTATCGTTCGTGACAAAATATACCGAACCCGACATCACCTTCTATCAACATCAGTCACTTGGTACTTTCTAAAGTGTTGACCCGTTTCAAGCCTCCACAGAATCAATTCACCGTTGTACGTTCCGGTAGCTAATATATGAGGAAATCGCAGAGCCGAGCACAGAATGTCGTCGGTGTGGCCGGTTCCCCATTTCTTGCGCACGTCGGACTCCGTAGCTGCCATTTCGATGACTTGCTTGTTCCAGCCGCTGCAGAGAATTCGATGCTCGAACCAAGCGACGTTCGTTACTTCGCTACGCGAAAGAAATGAATTTACTTGAAATCATGAGCTCACAAATTTATAAGAAATATAAATAAAATATAAATGATACATACAGAGTATACCAGAAAGATAGGTACCCTGAATTAACTTGAAGGGATGACGTTTTTGAAGAAAATATTAAATACAAAAGTTTCAGGGTTTGGAAATGACCATTTAGTAGTAAACTTGAACTTGACCTAGGGATCAAATTAGAGGTCAAATCAAGGTCAATTTTATGTTAAGATTAACTGATGATTTTGAAACTTTTAAACATCAAATTAACAAAAATTAGGGCACTATTGTAACAATGTATGCTTGAAACCAAATAGAATTAAAAGGTCTAGTATAATAAATAGTTAGCGAGATGTCGTATAAGCCAAATATTGAAAAAGTTACTAAGTTTTCCTCAAATATCTCAAAAAATAGGCAAATAAAATATTTCGGACAAAAATTGTTCAAATTAGTTATTGGAAAACATGATACAATAATAAATAGGGATTTCCATTTACGATTTTAAAATTGATCTTAATTTGACCTTTAAATTTGATCCCTGGATCAGGTTCAAGCTCACCATTAGATGCTCATTTTTAAATCCTAAAACAGTGATAATTTTCGAAATAAGGCCTTTTTCGAATTTTGATATTCTTTTGCGGTTTCCTTGATATGAATCTTTGTTATGACTTTAAGAGTAATAATCGAAGGAGCCTGAAAAATATATTATCTACTGTCTATTTTTTAACCTAACTTAACCTATTTAATTAAAATATCTATAAATATTTGCACATTGGTGGTTTTCAAACTTTAATATTTTAGAAAATTCTGAAAAAAAATTTAATTTATCTATAGTGTTTTGAAAAAATCTCGATATCAACTACAATAAAAAATAGAGATTTATAATATTGAAAATATTAAAAATTTCAATATAACCTTCACGCGACCTTGGAATCGTCACGCAAGTGAAACTGACTTTATCATTTTTGTCTTCTTCAAAATCGAACAATTTTTATTCGAAACATTTTTTTCTAAAACGCGACGTTTTTAGCACGTTTGGGCATATTTTTTTATAATGGAATACCCTGTATATTTTACCTTGCATAGAACTCTTGCTAATTTTTTTCAGTAGTCTTGTTTTCAAGCATAAACAGACACAAAATCAATCCTTTCAAGGGCCGTCATATATTTTTAATCTTAACAGATCTGAAAAGCCACGTTGGAAAGAAATAGTTAAAAAATATATAGATGGTATATTTTTCAGGCTTCCCCGATTGATTATCACTATTAGAGTTGTAACAAAGATTTTTACCAAGAAAACCGCAGAAAAATCGAAATTCGGGGAAGGCTTTATTCCGAAACAAAAAACCCCTAAAACTTTTGTATTTAATATTTTTTTCAAAAACGTCATCCCTTCAAGTTAATATGGGGTACCTATTTTTCTGATACATTATGAAAGAATATACTACCATTCCGTTGATCTATCAAGGGATCAATCTTTAATTATTATAGGAAATAGTTTAATTGTTTTATTGAATGTACCATTGGTAGTCCATCGTGGCGTGACGTATGCAAGTGCCAGTGTTGAAGTTCCACATCTTCAGCGACCCGTCTCTGGCGCCGGTCAACAAGAACTGTTCCGTATCGTCGAAGCATGCCGCCGTGATCTCGATGTCGACATGTTGCCCGTATCGTACGACGCTATGAGCGCTCGTCATCATTTGCAAATAACGCCCCAACCAAGGGTCCCAGACGATGATGCGCGAATCTAATCCAGTAGAGACAATCTACTTGTAGGGCGCCATCATATTAGTATCTCGTGAGGAAGATCACATCATTGCGGATGAAGAAGTATCAAATGGTCACCACACGGTAAAGTTGATTGTAAAGAACGCAGCTAACGCCTTTGCTGTGCGTGCGGCCGTCCGATGTCTCTTCATTAATTACCGGCTCGCAAACGAGAATGGCGATCATTACACTGGCGATGATCATCGTACGGGTCAGCGTGTTGAAGACTAACGTCATCGGAGTGTGCTCGCTCAGTTCGCTCGGTAATTTATTATACGTCTGTCCGGGAAACACTATTATAGTAATTTCGTGATAATTGTCTCATTAAGCTTTTATGGTAATTATCACATAGTTTTGGTATATTTATGGTAATTATCATAGGATGAATGTGTTTGTAGACATTGTAGACAGACTGCTCATTTTTTGGAAAAGAAGAAGAAGAAGAAGAAGATATGCTTGACTTGGCTTCCGGGTTTGCACGGTGTTTATAGTGGAAACTACTTCAGGTAGTTCCTCTGCCCTGAAGAAGTAAACTATTCATGAAACATCGGAAATAAAACTACGATGGTACTAAGGAGAGCAAATCAAGCAGGAAGAAGACAAATGATCGTGATTGTTTCTTCAGACCTGGATGCAGTTGTGGCTCGGGACGTCCCACACTTTGATGCACCTGTCCTTGGACAGAGAATAAAGCCGCTTGCCGGCGTCCAGTATAACCAACGCGCAGATGGTAGTACGGTGTCCCGAGAGAACGGCGTTCGCCTTCTTGGGAACAAACGGGTTCCAAATGCGCAGCATGCAGTCCGGTCCGCCCGTCACCAACGTGTGACTCTCTATAAAGAACGAGTCGCGTTTCACATAGCACCTCCAGCCGACGAGAACACATTTGGCAAAACGCAGAAACCTTCGCAAAGCGCGAAGCAGGAGATTCCCATGAGAACTTTGAAGTGATACCGTCTCCACGTGCCCGTCAGGTCGCAAACGCATAGCGAGCACTCGTCGCATTGGCTGCTCGAGATGAACGCCCGCAGACTTCCGTGGTAGGCCACTTGGCTCGTCCAGTTGCTATGTATGCTCTTGAATTCCATCACGTGCAGCCCCGACAGCTCACCCTGTTCGCAACGTACGCTCTCTTAGCGAGCTGGCTTTCCGTAGATTACATCTAATGCGTATCCCATCCGCAACAAGATGCCCCTTGTACCCTGATCACTTCGTCGTAACGAAGAATCGTCGAGTCTCGCTCCGTGTATTGCTTGAAGGGACCTCTGTCTATGGAACTGAAGGCCATGATCATGACGGAGCCGCTGGTATCGCCCAGGGTGATGTAGGAAAGTTCGTTTACGTTCGTGCTGAAGTAGTAATGCATACAGACGACCGCGCTTTCCAAACTGGCGATCTAGAGATTCGACAGACGATATCAGATTGGTCGTATCAGTCGGACTTATGTGGCAATGGATCAATTTAACATTGTAAGGTCTCGCATCACTGACCAATATACGAAGATCGAACTTCTTCGCCGCGACGTCGTAGAACCTCAGGTCGCACTCCGTCGAGCTCGTGCAGACCACCTGGATGTCCGGCATCACGATCATGTCGGTTATAGCGGTGGTTTGCACCTTCAAGAATGCTGCGAGAAAGATATCGTGAGCGGGTAGTGAGTCAGGACGCGGCATAGAATCACGATGCCGCGATACTAACGATTCTTGGATTGCACGGTGCGCTCGTATTCGAGATCTAACGACCAGTAATTGATTGTTCCTTCTCTGCTGACGGTCAGGTAACAGCCTCTTTGGAAACTCGTGCTTCTGTCCTAAAGGATCAACAAGCCTATGACACCATAAAAGGACATAGGCTGTACAGACAGATTTTCAGAAGAATGACCGATGCATCAATCGGTCAGCTACCTTTCCCGGGCAAAAACCAGTTTTTCAGTGTATAAGAGGGAAGCGATATATAGGGAGCTTCTATGTCTCTCTTTTTTGTGTAAAATTAAAAGAAATCCTGAGTGTAAGACGGGAGCCGACTGACTTGCACACCGCGGTCCGGACGCTAACCGGCAGAACTTCCGGGCAGAACGCGATTCTGCAGACAGCGGTGCGATGACGCGTTCTCAACAACTTCGGTAAGCTCGTCAACGGCACTTCCAACATTCGCAATTTCCGACTGATGTCTTGGACTTGAAATTCTATCAGCAGGTAGGAGATGAATTCGTCCCACGTCACCTTGCCGTCACGTTTCACGTCAATCTGAAATCGACGCTCGCGTGAAGCTCAACGGACCATGAAGGGATGAACGAGAGGATTAACTGACTTTCTTGAAGAGGATTTGGAATTCGTCCTGCGACATTTCTATCTCGAGGATCTCTCGGAAAGCGACGTGCAGTTGAAAACAGTCCATTTCGCTGTTTTGTGTTGCCTGAGCGCGACAATTTTTACAAAGTAAGATCAAAATTCTAAGAGCGAGTCCTTCAGGGAGAAAGAAAATCTACGCGACGTACCAAGAAAGCGCCATGTAATTGCTTCAGAGATTGCTTGGTGCATTGCTCCGCTATTGTTTTTGTCTTGAAAAACCGTTCAAAAGCTTCTTGAATGCTGCGGTGATACAATTATATATCCGTAAGTCTCACATTGCGGGAACGACTAGCTATTTCTTCTCGCTAACCTTGGATGATTTTTACCGACGAATTCCATCGCGCTTCCGGCTCTCCAACGATGTTTCACTCAACCGAAGACGACGCTGTAACGAAGGAATTAGAGAGAATCACACTAGGAATATATCTGTCAATTCATCTACTCAAATTTTTACACGAAGAAGAACGTCAAAAATTACATCGGCATCGTATGGTTTTCCATGATTAAGAACAAATACCAATCATGTTACATGTCTTTTAATTTCAGGTAGGCAGATTCTCGTTCAACAGTTTTCGATCGCTATAAGCAAGCAGAATGTATAGGGTGAGATACCTACATAAAACGGGCCATCTGCATAACTGAAAATATACAAGATAGAAAAAATGTTAAATACATAAATGATAGGGTTTTAAATAACGCATCATATAACAGTACTATAACAGTAGTATAACCTTAAATCAAGATTACGGGAAGATCATTTTGAATTTTCTAAACGGAGACCCCTATTTTTTATTATATCATCTTTTTCTACCAATTAATTCGAACAAATTTTGTCTGAAACATTTCTTTATTTGTGTAATATTTTTTGAGCTACTTAAAAAAAACTTGATAACTTTTTTCAGTATTTGACTTACGATATCTCGGTAACTATTCGTCGTAATAAAAAGTCATACTAGACTTTTTTACTCTATGTGGTCTCAAGAATATGTTGTAACAATATTACTCTAACTTTTGTTGATTTAATGATGTTTGGAAATTTGAAAATCATCAGTTAACATAAAATTGATCTTAATTTGACTTTTAAATTTGATCCCTAGATCAAGTTCAAGTTCACTACTGGATTTTCCAAATCTTAAGACTTTTCTATTTAACATTTTCTTCAAAAACGTCATCCCTTCAAATTAATTCAGGGTATCTATCCTTCTGGTACAACCTGCATCATTTATATATTTATTCATATTTCTTATAAATTTATGCTCTCACGATTTCAAGTTAATTCATTTCTTTCGTGCAACGAAGTAACGAACGTCGCCTGGTTCAAGCATTGAATTCTCTGCAGCGATTAATTTGAACAACTTTTGTCTCAAACATTTTTTTTATTTACGTAATATTTTTGTAGTTATTTAAAGAAAACTTGGTAACTTTTTCAATATTTCAACTTTTTCAATATATATGTCTTACGACATCACGGCAACTATTTGTCGGAAGAGAAAGTGATACTAAACTTTTTTACTTTATTTGATCTCAAGAATATGCTGTAACAATAATGCCCTAACTTTTATTAACTTGATGACTTTTGGAGATTTCAAAATCATCAAGTTAACAAACAAAAGTTTGAAATTAAATAGAGTAAAAAAGTCTAGCACCCGCCATTTTTTTCCGACAATAATTCGAGATATCGTAGCCAAATATTGAAAAAGTTACCAAGTTTTCCTTAAATATCCCAAAAAATATCATGCAAATAAAAAAATGTTTTAGACAAAAATTGTTTAAATTAATTGGTAGAAAAAAATTATAAATAAAAAATGATAATAAATAAGAAATTATATAAATAAAAAATGGGTGTTTCCATTATAAAAATTTAAGATAATCTTCCCGTTAGCGTCTTAACTTTTGTTAACTTGATGACCTTTGAAAATTTCAAAATCATTATGTTAAAGTTAAGGCACTGTTGTAGTAGATTCTTAAGACCAAATAGAATAGAAAAGTCTAGCACCCTTCACTTTTTCTTCCGACAAATAGTTACCAAGATATCGTAAGCCAGATATTGAAAAAGTTACCAAGTTTTTCTTAAATATCTCAAAAAATATCACGCAAATAAAAAAACGTTTCAAACAAAAGTTGTTCAAATAAATTGGTAGAAAAAGATAATATGATAAAAAATGGAATTTCCGTTAAAAAAATTCAAGGTGATCTTCCTGTAACCTTGATGATGCTATTCAAGGTCATACTAGTATTGCTATGTGATACGTCACTTAAAATCCTGTATAACTTTTATATTCAACTTTTTTTCTATTTTGCATATTTTCAAAGTTACTCAACCTGTTTTAAGTATTTTGTCCTGTATACAGACTTAGTTTAATAACATACGCACAAATTATATTTATATCACAGTACTGGAAGAAAATCCGCATATCGTGCAGTTCTAGGAGGAAAAATAACGCGGGAGGAGAATAATCGATAACTCCCGTGTATGTACAATAGATATAAGGGGTACGTGATTGTCCAAAGCGTATACACACGCGCTATACCATCGCGGCCGGATCAATGCGAGGAAACTGGTGTTTTACATTCCGGAGAAATTCACCTGTTAAAGATGGAATTGTTTACAGCTCTGAGTTTATTCAGCCGACAAAAGTACGAAGCGTGTACTGCGATATGTACGGATCTCCTGCGGAAGAATCCATTGGATCAGGTGTGTGTCTTGCTATTTCTCTCCAAGACAGCAGTAATCATCAGCGAGTGACTTGACAATATTGCTTCACCAGGCTGTGTGGGTGTTGAAGATGCGCGCTTTGACGTTGCAAGTCTATGTAGACGACATCGAGGGCGAAGAGGAAGGTATCGCGGAGACTCTGTTAGATAACTACGCGATATCGTCAATGCCGAGGCCAGGAACCTCGCTGAAGAATCCTGGTACCAGCTACACCGGTCAAGGAGTGCGGCCAAAGTCTCAATCTGGTTCGCTCATTTATGAATGTTCAGTCGACGGTTTTCTTTGAGGTTTTTAAGAAAAGCAATGTTTAATATCCTCAAAGGTAGACCTGTTACCGGAGTAGTGCGGCCCGCCACTCAGGCAGCGATGTCCCAATCGATCGAGCAGGCGTTGAGAACACCGAGAACAGCGATGACCGCCAGGCCAATCACAGCGAGTTCAGGACGCAGCGTCAGGTAGTATATTCGCAATTATGTTTAGTATCTATCAACGAGTATCTATCAACGAATGAGACTTTCGTCTTCCCAGGCTTGGTACCGCGTCGATGCTGACGGAGCCTGGTGGGCCCTTCATCCAGCTATCGCGGCTGAATGTGACCAAATATGCTAGCCAGCAGAGCATAGCTAAGCCGTTGTTCGAGTATATATACTATCACGAGAACGATGCGAGATACGTGAGTATTGTGCGATCATAGTTGTATGAGTAAAATATTAGCTTTCCACTCAAGGCGCGATCATGTGCTGCAAATCGTCCTAAAACGTGTCGCAGGCGCTAGACTTGGCCGTTCAGGCGACACAGATCTGTCAATACAAAGACTGGTGGTGGAAGGTCCAGCTGGGCAAGTGTTATTACACCCTGGGATTAGTAAGAGATGCGGAGCAACAGTTCAAGTCGGCATTGAAGGACCACAGAGCCGTCGAGACGGTCCTGAGGCTAATCAGAGTCTACGTCAGGCTAGATCAGCCGTTGGCCGCGTTAGACACGTGCAAGAGAGGTCTTGATTATTTCACCAACGACGTAACGATTCTCACGGAGATGGGTCGCATATTCGAGGGTTTAAACAACATGTCGATGTCCATGAAGTATTATAAAATAATCGCGCAAGAGGACGCCTCTCATACCGAGGCGATAGCTAGTATAGGCATGCATCACTTTTACAACGATCAGCCGGAGTTGGCGTTGCGTTATTACAGGTACGTTGAACATCTATGTTCTGCAAGATGCCATATTTTTCTACCAGAGAAATCTGAGCGGAAGTGGACGTAGTCCAATAGAAAATTTGTGACCACTGAAAAATGTCTTCGACTGATCCTCAGGCGTCTCCTGCAAATGGGCGTGCACAACGCCGAATTGTTCAACAATCTCGGGCTCTGCTGCTTCTACGCTCAGCAGTACGATCATACTATATCGTGCTTTGAGAGAGCGCTGAGTCTCGCTACCGATGAGAACGTAGCCGATGTGTGGTACAACATTTCTCACATTGCTATCGTACGTACACACGTGCATCATTTTGATCTGTTATCTTAAAATGTAGACTACATATTAATCACGATTATATACAGACTCTGGGCGACCTGATAATGGCCGAGGAATGCTTAAGGCTGGCCATCGCGGCCGACAATAGGCACGCTCTAGCTTACAATAATCTCGGTGTGATAGAGGTGCGGAATGGCAACATTACGGCGGCGAGGACCTACTTCCATGCGGCTGCTAACATCGCCGGTTACGTGTACGAAGCGCACTTCAATAGCGCCCACTTGGCTTACGAGGTAATTTATTCTTCATCCGTCTTGATCATACGTGTACCGACTGATATTGCAGATCTGTTCGCACACATGTACAGGTTGGAGATTTGCAGACCAGTTACAACGCGGTACAAAAGTCGTTGAGCACCTATCCAGGGCATTACGACAGCAAGATTCTCTTGCGGAAGCTGCAACGATATTTCTCGCACATATGAGAAAAACAACGAGAGAAATGTTCCTTACTCTACACCGCATTACTTTATTTAACGTGTAACATATTTAAACGCAATTCTATATACATAATATACATGTACAAAACGGTACAGAAATTGTTACAAATTTCTACATTGTCCATACATACGTCTGAAATTGAAAAAATGGTAATCAAAAGTGAAATTTGATACGAAATATGATGATCGTTAAAGTTCACGGAAGTACAGAAATCGATATGCAAATGTAGCAATCTAGATAATAATGATGAGATTGTCCGTTACATCTAACACCGTCTTTTCTTATCAAGTCTGTATAAATATATACCAATCTGATGGTTTTTCTCACCGGATGAGAAAAAGTATATTTTTGTACCGATAATAATTTAGCTGGATTGTATATAACCTCAGAAGTTTTCACAATATTTAATTACAGATCTGGTAATTGACATTATCGAATAATATTCTAAGGAGATAATAAATACTCGGTCACACTATAGTTATGTGTATCATTCACAAAAAAGCACGATATTGGAATATATGTCCAAACATGGGACTTGGAAAATATTTATGAAATACTTGCGTCGTTTAATCCGCTTTTTGCTTGATTTTTTGTCGTCTGGGATCCATTTGGAAGCCCAGAGCGGTATACAGTCTTCTGATGGAGAAGTTATTGCGTTGCATCTTACACAGTGTGGGATATAACTAGCCACGATATTACGAGGTAAAATAGAAAAATTGGATATACTGCTAAAGCTTTTCTCCCTACAGGTTGACTGTCGCCAAGGAATGCCATCGACGCTAAAATACAACCCAAGTTTGTAATAAAAAATAATTACCCGATAAGTAAATTTTACAAAATGCAATTGATACGCCACCACTTACCATATGTTGCCCATAAGAATCCAATCACAGTGATCACAAACCTAATGATAAATAGAAGTGTAGTTTGCTGCACCATCAATATAATTCTGCATATAATTAGTGCGATGGCAGTTGGTAGTAGGCAATATCCTAGGACGCAAACACTTTGGAAGAAAGATCTGTAAAATTTGTATCATTGTATATTGCAGTGATCAATATGACTGATAGGTTATAACTCACAATTCACAATACATTAACTCACATATTTCCACCCAAAAGTTTTGAATTCAATGTAACAACCATAGACCCGATCCATACAATAACAAATACTTCTGCAAATTCAGGCCCTCCATCATTTGAATCTGGTGTGTCTGAGGAACCTTGTAATATCCTGAATCGATTATAAATTTAAATCAGATGAAATTTAAATTATTATATTTCATGTATTAATACATACACATATAGGGAATATTATATAAGGGAATGTGAAATAATGAAAGAATGGTTCAAAAAATCAGGAAAGGATAATATAAGACTGAAAAAAAATTTATGATGAACTATTAGATAAAGAAGAAAGGACATGCATTAAGAATATTTTGGATAGAAAAAGGAAAGGTTAGAAAATTAAGAAAAGGAAAAGATAAAGAAACAGGATAAAAGAAAAATAAATTTAATAAAAACAGTAGGAAAAAGCATAGATTGCATATAACTTTTGATTATGATCTATATGACTTGTATTTATAATTAATGATTAATAGTTAATGATTCATGATTCATGTTCAATAGTTTTGAATAGTTAGGTAGTCTCATATTGTATTTGTATGTTGTAAATGTTACAGCACAATTGCTAGTACAGAAAATATGACTGTTAAAGTTTAATTAATACGATAGAATATTATAATAAACAAGACTGTATAAAGAAACATTTAAGCATAGATTGAAATAGACAATGGATCGATGTAAATAAAGAAAACAGAAGATCCAATAATTACTTATAAGGTGAGGATTAAGAAACTGGATAGGATGAAGTAGAAGAATGTACACCAAAGATGTGTGATTGAAAGATATGAGTGTGTTAAGTAAAAATTGTAAACCAAATCCCTACTTTTTGGCTATATGTTGAAGTATAAGTAAAATTGACTAATAATACATGTGTATAGAGTTATAGCTTACATCGCCATGAATGTGCATAATACTAATGGTCCCCATAGATCCCCTGAAATATGTGACATTACATTACAAAATAATTAACCTATATTTTAATAACATGTCTCAGAAAGACTCATCTTGCATAGACTCACATTCCTTCAGCAGACTTTTCTTCTCTTTAGGATATAAAACATGGAAAAATTTCTTGCCCACTGCACGGACGTCCCTCAACTGTATTAAACACAAACGGTAAACTTTACGATTCGTGATAACTTCCAAGTTGGGACAGAAGGAGAATAATAACAGCCGCTTACAATTGTATCTCTGATGGGCTCATCTAGCGTATTAAATTCTGGCTCTCCTAAAGTAGATTTCTGCTTTGCACCTATTGTCATCTCGCCTTCAACATGCTGAGGATCCACAGTGTAAGCGGCATCATCGTACATCTGTTGAACATAATACAAAACTTCAAGTCATGCCATCGCACTTGCGCCGGGACATGTACACCTAACAGATGATGATACTTGCGTCCAGCTTCGCCTCGGTTATTGCCGCCATGTTTACTGCCGACGCGGATTCGAAGATTACTGCAAGAAACTACTGCGGAGAGATGTGTTGTCGACGATTCCACGGATGATACGTCTCGGCATATCACGGGAAACTCGTCACGTGTATCGGCAACTTCGTCCGAACGTTCACACGCGTATCGCGCACACCACGCTGTACAACGCGCTCGCACGCACGTTCTTTCGCTCCGACGATTTACAGTCCGATGTCACTGCGGCTAACATTAAAACATGAAGACGCGGCATTTAATCGGCAATCCGCGACCTCACTGGACCCGCGATCAGCGCGCGCTCATAACCGAGACGAACCGCCGGTGACTCGATGATCTCGATGACGGGCTAGCTAGAAATGACATCCGACGAAAGTCCCAGCGCGTCGACAGATGTCACCCGCTGTCACAGCGAGTCGTCAACGACGGAGATTGCGGCGTGACTGCGTTCGAACGGCACGAACATCGAATAGTGACATTAATTTCTCTCGATGCGACACGGCGGAGCGAGCCGAATCAAGGACGTTATCACGCAGCTTGTTGCTGGACTTTCCTCGCGATGAATCGCTCACGGGAACACCGGTCATCACGCGTTTTCCTCCACGTCTTCGTGATCCTGCTGTTGTTGACACTCAGCGCGCACACGCAGCGGGAAAGCGACGGGCCAATGGAGGACGAGCCGCAAAAGAGCGCGGGATCCAAGTCGAAGCTCGACGAGGAACTATGTATATTCGCTGAACTTGATTCTCTCCCTCGTTTCTACCTTCCCGTTCGACTGACTCTGCTGTTCTTGGCCGTATTCTCTCGCCCAGTGAGCAAAAAGTCATTATTACAACGTTATTATAACGATATTCAGTAACATGTAACGTTTTCAAATATGTCGTATCTAACGTATGCAATATCATAATGAACAAACTTTGAACTCGATTTGGAGGTTTCGGTAATGTTGAATTCACAAATGTAAAGTTGTCATAAGTAATGTTGTTCCAATAATTTTGTTAACATTTTGGTAATTTCTCAGTACAAAAATTAAAAACTAATTATTGCTCTTTTTCTAATAGAAACGATTCTTAAAGTTGTTATGCTGGTTTTATTTGAAAGTTAGTTTACTTTATTGATACCATGTCACGTCACATTTGAAAAACTCACACTTAGTACTGGTGGGACCGAACTCCGACCGAACTATCCGAAAGAGCTCTGGATTACAAATCTATCACTCTTTAACATTATACCAATTCTTCACTTTATATAAACGTGTTTACTCTGGGTATAATTTCAAAGTTTCAGTAATGTTTAAATGAGAATGTTATAATGTTGCAAATCTAATATCAAATTATAAACATTTTTTAACTGTTGCATTAACATCAAATAAATGTTAAAATAATATTTAAAAAATATTTGCTAGAATGTTTTATAAAATGTTTTAACAACATATAGAAAAATCATATTGCAAAATAATAATAATTTTAAATGTATATATAATATTATTCAAGAAACGTTCAAAAATTCACGTAAAATCAACATTTCTAAACATTAATTTCATGTTCCTTGTTTATTGGGTCGACTTCGAGGAAAGTCGGACAATGAGAAGGTTAACGCTTCCTCCCGGATCGCCAGAGAGCGCGTTTGTCGTATTTTGAACGTAAAAAGACGCGCGAGAGTATGCGGCTGAGAAGAGCAGAGATTCTGTCCTCGCAATTCCGCTCGTTTCATATCTGTGATGATATCTTGATGACTGATCTTACACAGTTAAAAAGCTATTCGTTCAACGGCGCAAGGATCACATACAAGCTGTGCATACTCTCCTGAAGATGGACAACTATGAGCGCCTGTACAAGATGATCGCGGTGTTGGCCGAGAAGGTGATGGAAGTCATCGAATCCAGCAGGAACGTCATCGAGAAGGCTGCTTTCGTGCCGAGCAACAGTTCCTTCCCGGAAGACACCAACGTCAAAGAAGGTACGCTGATTTGATCGTTTTCCGCGAATCAGCACTGAAGTACCAGCACTTTCGTGTTTAAATTTCGATTGATTCTTCTTCTCACTGATGTCTGATATGATAATTCGGTTAAATTAATACATAAGGTACTTATTAATCATTTGAAAATTATGATGATAATGTCAGTTCCGTCGGCTGTGACAGACTAAAGCGCTTTTAATGTCTTTCTTCTTTACTTATCGGTTTCTGTATTCGTCGCAGCGTTGTCCAGCATCCTGGAGAACACCGCGCTCTTCGGAGACATCATCCTGCACCTGCCGGATATCTCTCACAGGATACTGAGAGCGCAGCAGAGCTTGAACTCCACGATACACTGGTCCCTGAACTTCGTCAATCAGACGCGCCACTTGCTGGACAAATCAACTATCGCGATGATCCATCTGGTCGAGCAGGAGCTAAACATTACGGAACGGGATCCGAATTACTTCAATCGGTATCGGTTCACCGCTCACTCAGGTGAGCTCGAGGATGACTCGAAGACGACGGTGATGAAGAAGAAGAAGAAGAAGCAATCGACGAAGAAGGACAAGTGCAAAAAGGGCCCACGGATCGCCAAGATTGAGTTGTGAGGCCGAGTTTAGTCGCCCTTGCCGTGAGATTCCTACGACCGGTTTCTGTATCGCCTCATTGAGGAGCGAGCTCCTCAGGATCCTAAGGCAGTCAACGACCTATTGAGAGCTCTCGTCGCAAACGAAGGTTCCAGGTTTCGTTTTGTGCTTCTTAGAGTCGGAGCAACAGCGACGGGCTTCCGAACGACGGCCTACCTCGACTGCATTTCTATTTGAAAATTTTGTTTATTCAACCCTCCGTTAATCGCACGACATCCAGTAGATTAGTTCAGGCTACAGGCTATTACTTGTTACACGACCTCAAAGCCGTATTTTTATCCATCCTAATACTCGCCAATTGGTTCTTCCTTGTTTCTTGTACTTCAGTGTCTGACCTATTAGCCAAGTGCTGGAAGAAAAATTGTCCTCAAGAAACAAAGAAAAATAAGGGAAGAACTAGTGTGTAAGATCCATCGCGAGCAGTCGTGGATGAAAAATATTGCGACTAACGGAGAGCGTTCAGTCTCCCGAGACTGGCGCGCATTTGCTGTTAATTGTACTGTTGCATTGTTAGATAACGGAGATCGCTACACATATCGCAGCTCAGCGGAGCATCTTCAAGTCGCGATCGTAACGAAATAAAGAGAAAGATCATACCGCTCGCGTTTCCTTAACTCAACTCGCGTAGAACACTCCGGTGTTCTCCGACCCGCCACCAGTTTCCAAGGTCAGACCCCTGCATCGCTCGCGTGACAAATTCGCAGTTCGTCTGCGAATGCGTCGCGTCGTAATTTCGGGCCTCAGTAGACGCGCGCGAGAGAGGGAGAGAGAGAAAGAAAGAAAAAGAGAGAGAGAGAGAGAGGCAAGGAAGATCCGCTGGCGTCGAAAGCGAAACAAAAGCCGAAGGCGAAGCAATCCCGGGCACCTCGCCGTGGCACCTCACGCCGACGACGCGTCCTGTCCGAGAGACGGCATTTCTCATCGCGGCTCACTCTTAGCGAGCAGTCATGCCGGTAGAAAGTGGTCAGCCAATGAGCTGAGGAACGGCGGTTCCTCGGCCCTGCCAGTTCCCGCGGAGTGCCGCGCCGGCCCTCACCGCGCGGGTACCCCCGGCAGTGTCGTGACGGCGGATCAGCCCGGTGGTGGTCGGTCGGCTGATGATACGTCTTCGTGGCCGCGGTCGCTCGAGCTGAAGCGAGAAACCGTAGCGAGGAAAGCACGCGGAAGCATCTCGGCTATCCGGAGACGAGACGAAACGGGACGGGACGCGACGCGACGCGACGTGACACGACGCGCCGAGTAGTCATCCAGGAGCATCCCGGCACCGGTGCGACGCACGTACACACCGACGGCAAGCGGAACGATGAGGCTCCAGGAAGCGGTGCTTCTCTGCGCCGTCTTGACCGTCGCAGGTAGGCGCACCTTCGCGCGAAATATATTCCCTACGTCGCGATCGGGCCGCCTTTCTCTCCTTCGCCGGCTCCCAGTGACCGAGGTGCACGCGCGAGTCCGCGTGGGAGAGCTGGAAAATATCGGGGAAGAAATCGCTGGAATTCCCGCGGGACGTTTCCGTCCGCCTGTCGCTGTGCCTTCGTCGACGGACCTCCGCAGAAATAGCGAGGTTCCGCGATCGAATTCTCGATCTGATACCGCGGACCATTCGTGCCGAGCGGCGATTTTTTTTCACCGATCGTCCCCTGATAGCAAATATGTCCAGAAGACATCGAAGGACTTCCCGGGGATGTCCTATTTCCTCAGGACGGCCTTGGGATGTCTCTGGACGTCCCCAGTGGTGGGATTCTTTAACTCGTTATTAGAGTTAATGACAATTTCGTTATCGTTGCGCAGCTTTTCTACGGCATACAAAAGCTGCGCAACGATAACGAAAGTGTCGTTAATTCCAATAACGAGTTATAGAATTGCATCACAGGAGACTTGTGCTATCAGGGCGCTCCGATAACTGGAGCGACTTTCCCAAAATTATAACATTCCCGGACGGTCGCCTGACACCGGCGTGAAATTTCTCAAGACGCGCATTAATCCGAGACGAGTCGCTTCACGCTGCCTTCGCAGGATACGCCTAACCAGTCCTGCAGTGAGTCGCTCGCGTTGATTTTTCCCTTTTCCTGCACTCCTCGACGGTGTCCCTCGAAGAGCGTTCTACGGCCACGCATTCTTTATTCGCTTCTCCTTCTCCGTATGCTCCTCTTCTTCGTGCTCTCGATGTTTTCTTACCGATAAGATCAGCTGCGTTGGAGAAACCGTGTATGATAATCCGCGATCGATCACGTGCTAATTACCTCTCGTTCGCATATTGCGAGCTCCACAAACTCGCATTCGAGTCGCAAGGAGAAATTCGCCGATTACGAGGGATGCCTATTTCATTGATGAAGAACTTCAGATCGGAAGTGAAACTTGCAATTTGATCGGGAATATATGTCGGGATTATATCTCGAAGTCCCTGGAGTTCTGGAGAGAGACGAATTCTACTGCTGAAGCAAAGTAAATCAACGGAAGAAGAAAATGAGGCGGAGAGAGGCGCGGACGATCCGAGGAAACGGGAGATGTCGCTCCGATGCGTCGAGACGAGAATTCGGCACGCCGCGGTTTCACTCGCGTTTACATAAGATTTGTTTCACGCGCATATGGTGTACTGACATAGACACACACACACACGTGCGGCCGCACGTGTGCGTGTATGGGTCTGGACGATAGCGAGAAAATGTTGCACCTGAGAGAGGGAGAGAGAGAAGGAGAGAGCGAGAGGAGGGGGGAGGAACTCACGAGCGCACGTCATTGCCAACGTTACGGTGTGTACCTTCACTTTCCACTCCGCGCGTTAAACGGATCTCTTTGACATCCGCGAGTGCGAGCACCTCTCTCGACAAGTTACGATCGTAATTCACTCGTGGCGTCGCGCACGCCAAGTATTTCTCCCACGAGGGATCAATTCGAAATTCGAAAAGAACATTCATGAAAATGTAAAATTGATAAGTCACCTCCGTCCGACTGATTCCTCCTCAAAATTCAAAAACGCGCAAACTGGTGTGATCGATCTGTAGACGCAATGAGAGGACTGAGCGATATTTCGTTTCATTTCTTCGTTTGAAGGCAATTCACACGTATTTTCGCGACGGGAAATTGCACGTCTCCATTCGTACTTTCGTCGACGGCATCGAGCCGAATTGAAAGGAAGAGAAAGGAATCCGCGAGAACCCGGTCGATAGTCCTCCGACTTCGTAGCTTCGCGCTACGATTTCCCGCTTCTTCGTTTCACAATGTCGCTCTTCCAACCACGTATTCATATACAGAGTGATCTGGAACAATCAGTTGTCCTTAATATACCATATTCTTGAGCAAATTTTAAGACTATTTTTCCTCTTGCAAAATGTTACCTGATGCTTAGTTACTGAATTGTTAAGATACATAATTCGTCTGTTACAGACCGGGTACAGAAGGCAAGCAGGGACGGAACAATTGACCGCGTGGGGCGGCGTGCCGCCGATGTTGGACGCTTGGTACGATGTGCTAATCGACTCATGTGATAATATTTATCCATATTATTTTTAAAACTTAAAAATTCTAACAATCGCTGATGAACAATAGCAAATATAATATTATAAATTAATTTTTTAATAATTTTAATTCAAATTTTTTAATAAATTAATTAAAATAATTAATAGGATATTATAACGTAACGTTTAAGAGTAAAATATTCGATATTATGCGAGCTTTTTAATTGTAAAATAAATTATAAAATTACGAACGAGAAGAACGGAGTGTTAATTACGTTTAGAAAGCATAGGATATTCTTACTTTTGAGTGAATCTACGAATTTATGTTCTTCGGTAAAGATCGCTTATCTTCAGATTAACAATTTTTATCACTTATTAGCATACTTACGTTGTAATATCTTACTAATTTATAATATTATATTTGCTATTACACCAGCGATTGTTAAAATTTTTTAGTTTCGAAAATAATATAGATGATTGTTATCACATACGTTAATTAGCACTAAGCGCCCAACATTAGCGCCTATACGGCGTGTGGTTCAACGGTTAATTGTTCCGTCCCTGCCTGCCTGCCTTCTGTACCCGGTCCGTAAAATAGGCGAAATATTTATCTTAATAACTCAGCAACTAAGCATTGAATAACATTTTGCAAGAGGAAAAATAGTCTTAAAATTTGCTCAAGAATATGATATATTAAGGACAACTGACTGTTCCGGATCACCCTGTATATGTATATTATATATACAGTCGTCTTCGCTTCAGAGGAAGTCCGGCGAAAGCGGTGGTCTCGCCGATTTTGTGGCATTGCGGTGCGCCTTAATTGTCGAGCGATCGAGCCGCGTGTATCGAATGTCCTCGACGTGCAATTCCCGACCGCTGCCGATCCTCCACCACTGAGGTGTCGACCGCGATAACTCGTCTGCGGCTTTTATCCGTCGGGAGTAGGGTGGTATAATTGCCTCACACCTCACCGTCTATCATCATCATCATCATCATCCCACGCGGCTTAATTAAAAACGAAATCCCCGGTTAAAACGCTCGGCGACGGCGAGTGGCTGGATTTAAGATGACAGAACGAAGATGGCGCATGTCATCGCGGAGACAGAGCCCGCCGCGAGACGCGTAATATTCATCTAATCGTAATTTAATTTAATAATCGCCCACGAGCGTAAAAGCGTCGCTGTGCGCAAAAATGTAGCGTGCTACACGTAACGATTATAAGGTCGCACCGGGAGGACTCCCGGCAGGTGCCACTTTCTCTCTCGCGAGCGCTTGTTCCTTTTCTTGCCCTCTCGTTCCCTCTTTTTTCTCTCACATGCGCGCCTTCGGCTCTTTGCGTTGGTCGCGCGGGCAATTTCTCTCGTTCATGCTCGCGTCGTGTTTCGCGCGCTCGTCTCATCGATCTGAATTTTAGTGCGAAGCGCGCGCGCGTCGCGGTTAAAATTCGTCTCGCGAACGAAAGAGAAAGAGAGAGAAAGACAGAAGGACGCAGCGCAACGCGCGAGACACTTGAGGAACCTTGAATGCATCGCTGGTAGATACACAAGGCGGTTTTACCTCTCCAGCACGGCTCCCGCTCATTGTCGAGAATGCGAATTATAAGTCTCATAAAACGCTTCTTGTGCAATTCCCCGCTCGCGCTACACGCCGCTGTCGCCGGCTCTTCCGGCGCTTAGAAATTCCTCGCACGTTCCGTAACGTAAGCGTAATCGCGGCACCCTCCACGCTCGGACGGACAACTGAAAGGAGGAGAGGTCACGACATGCAAATCAGTGAGAGGGCACGCTCGCGAGCATCGCGGAGAAATTCGAGCGTAACGGTACAACGCCATTCGCTACAATCGTTCGCGGAATTCGCAATTCTTTAATCGACGCCCGACAAAACAGCGTCGCGGCTTCATTCGCGCATCTGCGCGCCGGAGAAATATCCTATACAGCACAGAAGTTGCGGCAATATTGCTGCAACATTGCAACATTGTGGCAATAATGTCTTTTTTCAAGCGCTGTGTAGACCGTAGTAGCACATATTGTTGGACCAATATTGGCTACAAATTGGGCCCCCAATATTGGCCAATGTAACCCCAATGTAAGTCAATATTAGTATAACAATGCTATGCAATATTGGCGATATATTGTAATTTAATGTCTAACCAATATTAGCTGCATATTGGGATACCTTGGGCCAATGTAGCCCCAATGTAAGTCAATATTGGTATAACAATGCTATGTAATATTAGCGATATGTTGTAATTTGATATCTAACCAATATTGGCTGCATATTGGGATACACTGGGCCAATGTAAGTCAATATTGGTATAACAATGCTATGCAATATTGGTGTTATATTGTAATTTAATATCTAACTAATATTGACTGTATTGGGATACACTGGGCCAATATAACCCCAATTTAAGTCATCGTAGCCAATGTAATAATACGAGGGTAGTCCCAGAAGTACTTGACCTGATGTATAGATAGCGGTTGTTGTTTGAAAAGAATGACTATGGTAGAAAGTACCAACCTTATAAAGCTTAAGTTTGAAGTTTGATGACGCTACATTGTTTAGTATTTGTTTGGCAGCCATCAATAATGAACGCTCTCAGTGAATTTGTAAACATGGAAAAAATTAGTCATCGTTATGTGATACAATACTTTCATTTGAAAGGCCTCAGTCCAACCAATATCAAAGCGGAGCTAGATTCTACTCTGGGGGAGTCTGCTCCTTCGTTTACAACAGTAAAATATTGGGTGGCAGAGTTTAAACGAAGCCGTACGAGTTGCCAAGACGAACATCGCAGTGGTCGACCAAATGAGGTGACCACGCCAGAAATCGTGAAGAAAATCCACAAAATGGTATTGGATGACCGTCGACTGAAAGTGCGCAGACATTGTTAGCAGACATGGTAGGCATTTCAAAAAGTGCAATACATCGCATATTGACTGAAAATTTGGACATGAGAAAGCTGTGCGCAAGATAGGTGCCGCGATTGGAACAAAAACAGCGTTGTGAGGATGTTTCAATCGAGTGTTTGGCGAAGTTTTGCAATAAAGCCAAGTTTTTGTGTCAATTCATAACCATGGGTGAAACATGGGTCCATCACTTCACACTTGAGACAAAGGAACAGTCAAAACAATGGACCAAGGTGGCTTGATGGCTATTTTGAGGAGCTCGACGATTCTCACTATAAACAGGGTATCGAAGCTATTGAACATCGCTGGGAAAAGTGTATTGAGCTAAAAGGAGACTATGTAGAGAAATAAAGATATTTTTTCCCAAATTTTTTGTGTTTTCTTTGTTAGGTCAGGTACTTTTGGGACTACCCTCGTACCAATGTAACGTCAATGAAGTGTGCTGCTAGGGGAGTTCCGTCAAATCATCGATCTGGAAGAACAACGAGAAGCACGAAGCGGACTGAGCCACTAAGCAAATTGACCACTAATTGTGCGCAAATTTGCAGCAAATCCGATAAAAAAACCCATAACCATCTGGATTCAGCTCGTGTTTTGGCGCCAAGGCCTAGAGTCAGGCCATTTGTAGCAAAAACCGCGCGACCTTGCTGCGCATAACCTAGCACTGCCCACTAAGCAAATGGACCGCAAATTGCACGCAAATTCGATCAAAAACCCATGCCAAAAACCATAGCCATCCGTGTTCGCATTCAGTTCGTGTTTTGGCTTGCATCAAGGTCTGCTGCCAGGCCACTTGCAGTAAAAACCACGTAAACCTTACTGTGCATAACCTAGCGCTACCCAGTAAGCAAATTGTGCGCAACCCCTGGCGGAAAAAATTTTACAATTTATACAAAAAAAAAATAAAGTACAAAAACGACCAAAAATAAGTGTCAGAATCTATGAAATTCTACATAAATTTACAAAGTGCTTACAAAAATCTACTTGAATTTACAATGTGCTACATAAAAATGCTAGAATTGGAACACTTTTATAATTTGTTGTACTTTTCTATTGTATATTTGATTTATGAAATTCTCAGCAAAACTACGTTAAACTACAAAAAGTACTGATATCCTACAAATTTCTATGTCCATAAAAATACAGTATACTACAATGAAATGCTAGAATTAGAATTTTGTAGATTTTCGTAGTTTTCGGTCGAAACTTATAATTACATTGCTACGACTTGATCTACAGAGATCTTTGCCCTGTAATTAGATCTACAGATCTAATTACAGGGCAAAATTACATCAAATTACTGTTATTAGCGATGTTCTACGTATGTTTATGTCGAAATAAGTGTTGTATAAATAAAGAAATGTTACAATGGAAACAGTTGTGTAAATTTTGTTTTGTTTTGTGAAAACGCGTAGTTTATATTGTATTTCCAACAATATGTACTTAAATAGATGTTTTCACAAAAATTGTTACAATGCAGTATACTACTTTTTGTGTACAACAATCCATGTTCACGAATAATAGTATATTGTACTGTGAAGATTTTGGTAAAAACATTAATTGATTTACATATTGTTACAAATAATTATAATATCTTCAATTACCTTTTTCCACCCCAAACAATTCAAAACTGATAAAACAATTACTTTTAGTTAAATATATAACTTTGTACACAAATCTACCAACATTTATTCAATATTAATAACTTCTTCAATTAAATGAATAACATTAATAATAAATAATTTTTAATAAATTTGTATACAAATTTGTACTATTTTAGTGAAAAGTACAAATTTTAATTAGCAGTAATTGTAATACATTGTACAGCCGTAAAAATAAATCGGTATTTGCAATTATATGTAAAAAATTGTTGTATTTTATAGGAAACTAAAAACTACATTGGATTTAAAATTACATAGTTTTAGGATATGAAAATTCTTGTAGATGTGCATAGATATTTCTAAATATTTATAATATTCTACAAAAAGTAAGTATTTTTATTTCTACAGACTTTGTTGTCTTTCAATTTTTTAAATTTGTACATTTTTGTAATTGCTTCTATAAAATTGTAGATTTTTACAAAATATTACTTGCAATGATTTCTAGATTATAGAATATTGTAATTTGTGGTATTATTTTGTACAAAATTCTACAAAGAAACAAATTTCTCTACAAATATTTACATCTGTATACAAATTTCTACACATTCTTATTTTTAGTAAAAATTTGTAGTTTTTTGTTAAAGTTTTTTCCGTCAACGAAATTCGATCAAAAACCCATATCTAAACTATAGCCATCTATGCCCGCATTCAGCTCGTGTTTTGGCGTCAAGGCTGCCGGGTAACTTGCAACAAGTTACCCGATAGCAAGCTCTGTTGCAACAAAATTTGATAACACAGATCCTGCATCAAATTTGTTGCCCATCTGCCATCAAAAATTGATGGCAAACTGCTCAGAATTTGCACGTGCAGATTTGATTATCTGGGAAGGCTCGCTGAGCGATTCGTCAAAAATGGACGAGCGCCTCCGTCCCAGACAGAACCATAACGTTGATTTGACATTTATTTGACGTTGAAATGGTCGATGAACCGTTGAATCAACCGTTAAATCAACCCTCGTCGACGTCGAATCAACACAGTAGTTCTAACTGGGGTATCGTCCTCTCACGCGTTCCCGAGAAATTTTACACGGCCGAAGTGAGCGTAAACATTCAGCTCGCATTAGGATTGCCAGGATTTTCGGGAATCTCCCGGAATTCTGAAGCTTGTCCCATGTCCCATTGTCCAAGAATTGAAGTCTTCTGTCCCGGAAAATGAGAATTTCAACAAAATCATAATTATAACATTCATGTTTCTTACTGGTAGAAGAAACATGAGAGCGGTCACCGCGATTTATAGGGTCGAATTTTTCGACATGCCACCTAAGAAAATTGATGTCAACTAAGCCATTCGCGTGGTAAAAATACAATCGCACGGTTTAACTTCTGTTCAAACTTCTCTCTGTTGGTACCTAATTCATGCAATTGTTTGTTGCAAGTGCACAGCAGCCGTCTCTTAGCCGTCTTACTCCTTTATCTCTCAAATTTAACTAAAATTCTCTAACAACTTATTTTCAAACCATCGCCTAAAAAATATCCCGGAAATAGTCATTTCGCATCTGGCAACCCTAGCTCGCACACGTTCGTATGCGCCCAAACATGTTGGAACGCCCGCAATCGCGTTTCTCGCTTTCTCGAGCCTCTCTTCTGGAATTTCTCCCGCTTGGGAGTATCTTCTACGCCTGCGATGCGCGTCTTCATTCTTATCGACTCGGCATAATTTCACATTGAATATTCATCGAAGTAGAGAAACCGAAATCCCGTGACCTTGGCGGAAGGACGCCTGGATTCCGGTGGCATTGAGAGTCTGCTGTTTCATCAGAACGATTATTAATTATCGCGAGGTCGTCCGTGAATTTTCGTCGCACCACCGACGAAGGCGAAGGCTCTTCCTTCCGCTCTCGTCGAAGTCATCGCCGGCGTCTGGCGCAATCGCGACGACGCCTGCACCGTCGAACAACGAATGGAGACGGAAAATATGGTAAAAGTAGAACGTATATATAGTCGGCCACCCGGACCACAAGAACGCAATAAATAACATCCTCGGGCGCATAAACGCGTTTGGAGCAAGATTCCCAACCTTGACATTTTCCTGGCTGTTCACGACGGGCTGTTCATTCGATCCCACGGCGGACGATCGCACCAAGCCATCGTGAACTTTCCTCTAGAGGAGAAAAAAAGCTAAAGAGAGAGAAAGATCATCTCCAGGGTCGACGAGCGAAGGCGCGCGCGTGCGCGTTGAAATTTGATTTTGAGTGCGCGAGATCAGCCGGTTACGAAAGCGATACTTCTCGCGTACTTTCACGAGAGAGCACGGGAAAAGGAGAAGAAAATCCTCTCGCGCGCGACATGTTCGCGCGGCCGTTCCTGGCACTCATGTCTCTCGTGCGAAAAATCCTTACTCGCGCATCCGCCGTGCATCTCTTTCATCCTCAATTCTCCTCCCTTACCGTTTCAGTTCACTGCCAGAAGAACAAGAAGGACGAGGACAAGAAGGACGAGGAGTTCAGGTGTCCGGAAGGCCAGGGTAACGGGAACTTCGCCGATCCGGCTACCTGCAGGAGGTTCTACCAAGTAATCATGATTCACGTATACCTCGAGATGTGCATGTTCTTATTTTTATTGTCAATCTGATATCCTCCGTTATTCTCGCTCGCGCCCTAATCGTCTACATCTGTTTAACCGCCTTCGCCGGAAGTGCGTCGATGGATACCCTTACCTGAACCGGTGTCCGTCTGGTCTGCACTTCGACGATATCAGCAAGTTCTGCACGTTCAAGAACGAGGCGCGATGCGGACCCATCGAGACCAGTAAGATCAGCCTACATATTTCAGCATATGTCGCGGACTCGGCGAATCGGATGACTTGAGATCGCGAGGCAAGAATTAAGATCTTTGTACAATGCCAAGTAATAGGCAATAGGAACAGGCAATAGAAATAAGAAATAGGAACGAAGAATTCTAGCATATCAGAAACCGTATATCAATGTAGAATAAACTATGACACAAGCAACAAACACAGGATTTCCGTCATGTTGGAAATTCTATTCCTATTACCTGTTGCCAACTAATCACAGCATTCGGATTGTTAGGTTAAATTTATAAATTGCAGTGTACAATGATAGGTTAGTAGCTTGCACTGCGTAGAGAAATAACATCATGTTTTTGTCATCCATTGCTAATGACGAAGGATGTCAATGAAAATATTATACTAATAAAACCATATACAGTATATTCTTATATAGGGTGTCCCATTTTTAAGTTTCCACTAAAATTTCTCTTTAGGAAAGTATTTAAGAAAAAAATATTTCAGACAAAAGTTGCTTAGTTTAAAGGGGGACATAAGACAGCGATATCACTTTGTTTACAGATGGCGCCATTTTCGAGTTATTCATTGATCATTATTTTTCTTAAATGGAAATTTCAATTTTTTATTGCATCATCCTTTTTTACCAATTAATTTGAACAACTTTCGTCTGAAATATTTTTTTATTTGCCCAATATTCTTTGAGATATTTAAGGAAAACTTGATAACTTCTTCAACATTCAACTTACTTTACTCTCGCCGTTTATCGAAAAAAAATATAGTTATATTTTTTTAGATTCATGTTGTAAAATTCTTATTTAGAATCTCAAGAATATATTGCTATAATAGTGCCTTAACTTTTATTAATTTATCAACCTTTGGAAATTTCAAAATTATCAAATTAACAAAAGTCAAAGCACTATTGTAACAATATATTCTTGAAACCAAATAGAATAAAGAAGTCTAGTACTATTTTTTCCTCCGACAAATAATTAGCGAGACATTGTAAGTTAAATATTGAAAAAGTTACCAAATTTTCCTTAAATATCTCAAAAAATATCAAGCAAATAAAAAATGTTTCAGATAAAAGTTGTTCAAATTAATTAGTACAAAACAGATGATATAAATTGATAAAGATGATAAAAAATTCAGGTTTCCATTTAAGAAAAATAATGATCAATAAATATCTCGAAAGTGGCGCCATTTATAAACAAAGTAATATTACTGTTTTATGTCTTCCTTCAAATCAAGCAACTTTTGTCTGAAACATTTTTTTCTTAAATGCTTTTCTAAAGAGATATTTTGATGGAAATTTTGGGGCACACTGTATATATATATATATATATATATATAATTTTTTTTATACATATTACTGATTTACTTTGTTCACATACACAACAGAAGCTTTAAAATATATTAATATTTAACTTACAACATGAATCTAAAATACAGAAGATCTTAGAACTATGTTACTTTTGGATTATGTCGTTGCCAATAATTTCTTATTCTTTATTTCTATTGCCTGTTCCTATTGCCTGTTACCTGACATTGTGCAAGGACCTTTACAGAGCAGCCTCGCGCTAGGCAATTCGACTAATGATACTACGCTCGTCGGGCTTATCGGGCGCGCAGCCGATCTTCGTTCTATTCGTCGCAGCATATAATTTTCGGTGAGAGTCGTGAGCGCAGTCTTCGCAGCCGTCGGGACATTTTGATTTCCAGCCCCAGCACCGATCACCGAGCCGCCGACAGACCTAGCCGAGCGATGCGACACGGCCAACTGTCAGCTTCCGTATTGCTTCTGCTCCCGTGACGGCACGATCATTCCCGGGGGTCTTCAGCCGGACGAGGTGAGTGATGCGCCCGTAAACGTGACGCGACCCGTCAGCCCGCTCGGCGATCTGTCGTAGAAAAGGCAGAATATAGAGACATAATCATCGCATAGCCGGCCATCAAATCATTCCAGACGCCGCAGATGATCATAATGACGTTCGACGGGGCGATCAATCACAACAACTTCGACCACTACCAGAAGATCTTCACCCAGGATCGCGTGAACCCCAACAACTGCCCGCTCAAGGGCACATTCTTCATCTCCCACGAGTACTGCAACTACAACATGGTCCAGAGTCTGGCGCACGATGGTCACGAAATAGCCACGGAGACGATCTCGTGAGTAGCCGAGCTATGATGAGCTGGAGCTCACGACATGCGACTGACCGATTCTCGATACTCGCGAGAGTCGAAAGGAATCGACCAGTCGTAGTATGTTGTGATCCTCGTCGCGATTAGAGCAGCGTTCCGTTCACCACGATGACAAAATGTTCAGACTACAGAAGGGTTTGGAGGACAAGGGCTACGAAGAGTGGGCCGGCGAGATGATCGGCATGCGAGAGATCTTGAAGCACTTCAGCAACATTTCCACTAGCGAAGTGGTCGGTATGCGAGCGCCTTACTTAAAGCCCGGTCGCAACACGCAGTACAAAGTACTCGAGGACTTCGGCTACATATACGATAGTAGCATTGGAATCTCGCCGCTCAAGGTGCCGATCTGGCCGTACACCCTCGACTACAAGATCCCGCATGAGTGTAAAGCGGGCACTTGTCCCACCAAGTCGTTCCAGGGTAATGAAATCGACGATGAGAGGGTCTAGTTTGCTCTGTAATATTCAATCAAGACTTTTTAAAGAATAGGAATGCAAAATATATCGGAGATATTTGCCGCGTAGTTCTAAAGAAACTTTAACTCATCATTCAAGGCATCTGGGAGCTGCCTCTAAATGCGCACTACGTGGAGAGCTACGAAGGCGGGCATTGTCCTTATCTAGATCAATGCGTCCTTCACAACCACGATCCCGAGGAAGTGTTCGAGTGGTTGCAGGAGGACTTCAACAGATACTACGAGCAGAACCGAGCGCCGTACATGATGCCTTTCCATACAAATTGGTTCCAGATTAAGGAGCTGGAACGCGGTCTGTCGAAATTCCTCGATTGGGCGGCGACGCTGTGAGTGAAGACACAGAAGAAGACGTCAGCATCATCGAAGATCATGAACGATGTGTCTAAACGTAAATTCAATTTCCTTTCGCAGACCTGACGTTTACTTCGTTACTGCCACGCAAGCGTTGACATGGATAACCGATCCGAAACCGATCAAGGCTTTGCACAACTTCGAAGGATGGTCGTGTAAAAAGAAAGAGAACTTGCCGGGGCCACCATGCAACAACCCGCACAAGTGTGCCTTGGACTTCAAGCCCACCGAATCGAACTTCACAACGACGAGGTACAAGTCAACTAATATTAAACACAGGCCGTTATTTCGGCAGAATAATCGTATACATGTAAAATTGTTTTCTTCAGGTATATGGAGACGTGTAGAGAGTGTCCGAACAAGTATCCGTGGTTAGGAGACTCAAAGGGTACGGGATTGTACAACGATAATTACAATCCTGAAAGGAAGTAGGAGCGTCACTTAAGCGAGTTAGATTTAATTTTAGCGCAAGCGGTTCGCGCGTCTCGCCTGTTGTTATCAATATGGATGCTGCGTGTGATATATCTAATAACGACTGTAACAGACGTTTCATTCCTCCTTCAATGTCAGGAATAGAAACTATCGATAAAGTTCTATCTCAAATGTACGACCCAGCGTGCGTGAACTTGTACTTTTATTCTCGTACAGAGCATATACTTGACAATCATTCACAGGCATCTATAATGTTAAGCATATACTGCCCGATCTGGATTATTAACAAAGAGAAAATAAAGTGTTTTCATGCTGTATGAAATCCCATGAACTATTCTTTCTTTCACAGAATAACGGCAATCTGAAATAATTATTCTTATATATACATACTATGTTCTCTCATATAATATATTTGAGCTTTATGCGTTCATAGCAATGAATCTTGTCTTTATTTTTCGTTTTTTAGCCTTAACAATATATTTTAAAATTATATGCACACACACGAACACATAGTACATCCATTATGTTGAGCCATATTGCTTGCTTACTATTAAAGAAGTGTTTACAATAATCTAAATAAATAACAGTAATTACCTAACGTATTGGAGTCCATGGTTCAAGAATATCACCATATTTTACACGTACTGAAAAGAGAAAGAAGACAAAAGCAATCAAATAATATGTTTTATTAAATCTAATCAGATAATGAAAAAAAAAATTTTGATATTCTTCTAGTACATATTTATATTAGGAATAATCTCACTGATGAGATGATGACTTTGATTATGTCATGAAAGTCACCACCTTGAGTATCTAACTAAAGATAAATCATCACTCGTTATTATCAAAAAGTTATAATAAAAGAAATTCAGGAAACTTAATAGATATTAAATAATGCTACAGAACATAATTTAAAAAGATAATTTGAATATATCTATTGTAGCTTTTTGTACCTAATAATAATAAATCCTAATTATAATATATTTTGTACCTAATAATAATAAATCCAGTTCACTTCTTTTGACTGGAATGAAAAAAATGTCGATTTTCCAGAGGATTTCATTTCACAGTTTTATATTTTTTATATTTTCTTATTAATTTATATTTTGTTAAATTGTTATTAAAATCTTTCGTCTCACTAAAATTAGTAAAGGTTCCTACATAAGGTTTACATTAACTTAAATTTAATCTTGTACCAGAATTCTTTGCTAATCTTTGCCTCTATTTTTAATACATGGTAGACTCATCAATCTAGTAAAGCAAAAGTGTTTACCAAATTATATCTTTAAATTATGTTCACTGATGATACTTGTTATATTTTTTGAACATTTTTATTAATAGTTTTTTAATAAACAATAAGCAACGGTTAAAATCTTTTGATAGTCACTCAGAATTGTGACCTTTGGATAATGACAATATGTCAAAGTCATTTTTATTGGTCATGTCTAATATAAACATTTACTATCCTTCTATTTATCCATATAATATAAATTATGGTATAAATAACAGACGATAAGCAGTTCATTTGAATCAATTTAATATTTTTTCATTATCTTCTTCCTTTGATATCAAAAAGATTCATACCTGGTTCAGGAAAAAGTTCTGGATGTAATATAATATAATTTCTTAATCTGGTATCACGTCGAGCTTCAAGAAAATGAATAAATTTCTTTGCATATTGTGAAAAAATATATCCTCCTGCTACAAACATAGCATGCAGTTGCAAACCTAAATATAAATATTATATTAATGTTGCTCAATTATATAAAATAAATTTTCATAATAAATGTTTATTAATAAATGTTATATTAATATTAATATTAATAATATTAATATTAATAAATTATATTTATTAATATAATTATATTAATAAATATTTTCTATTAATATTAATAAATAGTTTCATAATAAATGATTATTAGTATAGAATTAAAGAATATAGTAACATATTGTATTATCAATTGTCAAGCTCCGTTTAGAATATTCAATGTCCATAATACGATCTTAAATTTAATATTAATTTTTTTTATATTAATATTATAAAATTGTATTGATTAAAAATCGGGTTTTTAATTAAGAATCTTTATCTTTGTAAAAAATATATAAGTAGTACATATAAGAACAGATAAGAATTGATCAAAACTGATCGCCATATTACATAAGCGTGTTATGAGGTTATGTTATAAAGTATGTGTAGAAAGATATTCTGTTTACAGCAAGTAATGGTATTACATGTTAATAAATATATTTACCGGCAAAAAACGGCCTGCGATAGTAACAATTTCTCAGGCTTGCCATTGTGAAACCAGCAGACATACTCCAAAATTCTGCAGAGTATTTTTGCATGATACTGGGTTGATAAGTGGGATCTGGCTTTAGTAATTCAAGTGCCCATTGAATATTGGGATCTTCTGAATATTGTCGTTGTTCATTCATTTTTGTATCTGCAGAAATTCTTCTTTCGTATCACACTAAGAAACTACAAACACGATATTTCACCACCACATGAGGCAAATGCCTTCCTCTCTTTCTTCAATAGATGGCTCTGGGCCTGTGGAAGTGTGTGGAAGTAAGCCCCTACGCCATTCTCCTACCTGGCGGAAAAAACTTTAACAAAAAACTACAAATTTTTACTAAAAATAAGAATGTGTAGAAATTTGTATACAGATGTAAATATTTGTAGAGAAATTTGTTTCTTTGTAGAATTTTGTACAAAATAATACCACAAATTACAATATTCTATAATCTAGAAATCATTGCAAGTAATATTTTGTAAAAATCTACAATTTTATAGAAGCAATTACAAAAATGTACAAATTTAAAAAATTGAAAGACAACAAAGTCTGTAGAAATAAAAATACTTACTTTTTGTAGAATATTATAAATATTTAGAAATATCTATGCACATCTACAAGAATTTTCATATCCTAAAACTATGTAATTTTAAATCCAATGTAGTTTTTAGTTTCCTATAAAATACAACAATTTTTTACATATAATTGCAAATACCGATTTATTTTTACGGCTGTACAATGTATTACAATTACTGCTAATTAAAATTTGTACTTTTCACTAAAATAGTACAAATTTGTATACAAATTTATTAAAAATTATTTATTATTAATGTTATTCATTTAATTGAAGAAGTTATTAATATTGAATAAATGTTGGTAGATTTGTGTACAAAGTTATATATTTAACTAAAAGTAATTGTTTTATCAGTTTTGAATTGTTTGGGGTGGAAAAAGGTAATTGAAGATATTATAATTATTTGTAACAATATGTAAATCAATTAATGTTTTTACCAAAATCTTCACAGTACAATATACTATTATTCGTGAACATGGATTGTTGTACACAAAAAGTAGTATACTGCATTGTAACAATTTTTGTGAAAACATCTATTTAAGTACATATTGTTGGAAATACAATATAAACTACGCGTTTTCACAAAACAAAACAAAATTTACACAACTGTTTCCATTGTAACATTTCTTTATTTATACAACACTTATTTCGACATAAACATACGTAGAACATCGCTAATAACAGTAATTTGATGTAATTTTGCCCTGTAATTAGATCTGTAGATCTAATTACAGGGCAAAGATCCCTGTAGATCAAGTCGTAGCAATGTAATTATAAGTTTCGACCGAAAACTACGAAAATCTACAAAATTCTAATTCTAGCATTTCATTGTAGTATACTGTATTTTTATGGACATAGAAATTTGTAGAATATCAGTACTTTTTGTAGTTTAACGTAGTTTTGCTGAGAATTTCATAAATCAAATATACAATAGAAAAGTACAACAAATTATAAAAGTGTTCCAATTCTAGCATTTTTATGTAGCACATTGTAAATTCAAGTAGATTTTTGTAAGCACTTTGTAAATTTATGTAGAATTTCATTTATGTAGAATTTCATTTATGTAGAATTTCATATGTAGAGATTCTGACACTTATTTTTGGTCGTTTTTGTACTTTATTTTTATTTTTTGTACAAATTTGTAAAACTTTTTCCGCCAGGATTAGGAGGCAAATGCAGATGAATGGTGTTTCTTGGCTGTGTTCTGATATTTATTGGTCACGTTCAGCGGAGAAAATAGCTCCGCTTCCACTCAGTAACAAATGTTCATGATTGAAGAATTCTTTTAAATCTTTGACAGATCCGAACAGACGTACCAATCAGAGACGTTTAGTACGGCACATTAGCGGAGCAGTTTTTTCCGCTGAACGCGACCATTGGGTGCGTTCACAACATTCAACAGTTGCGTAACTGTTGAGTAAAGCTAAGACTCCATGCATGCGGTGAGCTCCGGCAAACGGCTGCGGTGACCAATCAGGAGACAGACGCATGCCGGAGCTTGCCGCAACCGGACTTGCGCCTCCCTCCTGATTGGTCATCGCAGCATTTGCCGCAGCTCACCGCATGCATGGAGTCTTAGCTTAATTCGTCAACGTTAAGGTCATTCTACAATGAAGTTATAGGAGTATGCAGTAGGCAAATTGACCAATCACGATCAATTGTTCTCTTTACGATCGAAGAAAAATCAACTGTGATTGGTCAATTTGCCTACTGCATACTGCTACAACCTCATTGTAGAATGACCTTTATTGGTCTGAATGTAAGGATCTAAAGGTCATTCTACAATACATGTCGTAAGTTGTAAGTCGTAAGAATTGACGAATCACAGTCGATTATTAGAAAAATAATCGGCTATAATTGGTCAATTCTTACGACTTACAACTTACGACACGTATTGTAGAATGAGGCCTGGTCTACAATACGTGTTGTAAGCTGTAAGCCGTAAGAACTGACCAATTATGGTCGATTATTTTTGTAATAACCAACGGTGATTCGCCAATTCTTACGGCTTATAACTTACGACACGTATTGTAGACCAGGCCTGACCTTTACAGTGACTACGTTTACACGGCAAAGTTAATCCGGATTAGCAACAACCGTAGTTAGTGAATTCTTTGATTCGATTGGTATATTCTTTTAGATCTAAAAATATACTCTAATCGGATTTGAGACTGCACTAACTACGGTAGTTACTAATGTCCATTTCTACCAACCGTGGTTAATTTAACCGACTGGTTATTCCATCGGAATGGACCAATCGCATTTAATAATTCTAGTTAACGACAAATGTGACTGGTCAATACCTTTTGAGTAATCAACCGGTTAAGTTAACCAAAGTTGGTAGAAATGGGCATAAGTCGAAGTTAGAAGCCGTGTAAACCAGGCTTGATAAACTCTTATGGGAAAATTCTGACCAGTGTTTTAACGCCATCTAAAAGATAGCCCCCAGGAAATATGAACTACGATGCCAAAAATTCAATATGGCGTCTGTTATAAGACTGGTGCGTGTATATGTTACTTATGTTCGCTGAACGCAGCCAACTATATTTCTACAATAAATATTTGAACGTTGTTTAACACTTCTTGTAATTAAAGGAATTTTTTTGTGTGTGGTCATCGTCGCTCGCTCCAAACTACCATATATACGGTGAAGGTAAAGACATATTAACACGCTTGTTATTTAGACGTAAGTATTTGTTACGTTACTTTTTATTTGTAGCATTGAAAATGTTTTCAGCGTACGTTGCGTCATAGATTTTAAAAGAACGTCCCTCTAAGATATTTGAGCATAGATATGGGGAGGACATGTTGTGTTCCTGGATGCAAGTCTGGGAAAGAAGTGCCTTCACATCGATTTCCCAAAGATCCTGAAAGATGCTCAAAATGGGTACAAAGTTTGAAACTGAAACATTTAGAAAATTATCCAAGCAATGAGATACAAAAAAATAAAGTGTGCCATAAACATTTTCGTCCAGAAGACTATAGTCCATGTTTGCATAAACGTGTTTTATTAAATGTTGCGGTTCCTGTATTGTTTATACATAATAGTATAGATGCGGAATCTAACAAGATGCATATATCGCAGCAACAGCAATCAATAATTGATATATCAGAATATGCACAACATAGTCAAGATCCACAATGTGCAAATAATAAATACATATCTGTAGAAGAAAATGAAAAGTTAATGGATTGCAGCAATACACATGAAAAAGCTTGTGAAAGCTCAGTATCTGAACAAGATAAAATAACTTCTGTTCTTTATAATTATGGAAACAGACTGCAAACATTAAAAATGCAAATGCAAAGTATACAAAATACAATAAAAAAACGACCTCAGCTACAGGAAATCACTCAATCTAAAAATTTAAGCCCCATATGTAGGAGATTTTATGATATGAATATTAAACTTAAACGTCGCAATAGATATTTAAAGCGCTTAATATATAATAATAAGCAGCAGAAAAAAAGAAGAACAGTACCTATTGTATCCAGTACTTCAGATCCAAGAAATAGTATTACAGCTGTACGAGATAATTTCGTCCGAATGATCTTAAAAAATAATGATGTACTTCCCCAGGTACTTAGCACTTAGTGTCACAGAAAAAAAATATTCTTATATTTTAAATCATGAACTTTATAAAAATTATTTATGTATATAATATTTTACATATCAATTGTGTATATATATATATTTTTTTTTAACGACAGACTACATTTTACATGTACCTCAAGAATATGTATATTACATACATACGTTAAAAACATATACAAAATTCATTATATAATTAAATTTATATAGAAATTATTTATTTATTTATTTTGCTGCTTAATATTTTCACCTGAACACATTTTGGTTATAAAAATGTATACTCATACATAAATATAACTAAGTACACTTATAACATTTTGCTATAAATAAGACTATTCAAATAAAAAATAAATAAAATAAAGAAAAATAAATAAAATAAAAAAAAATTCAAATTTCAAATTTCTTTCAGGCTCGTAGATATAGTGTGGAAGATAAACTTTTTTGTATCTCAGTTTATAAGAGGTCCCGTTCCGCTTATAACTTCTTATCAAAATATTTGCTCTGTCCATTAATTGTTACATTAAATTCTCAACTTACTAACATCCCTTTACAAGCTGGATGTACAAAACTAATTCTTAAGTACCTGAAACAAGTTGCACAAGATATACATGATGAAAGAGATAAATTTGTAGCTTTAATATGGGACGAAATATCTCTGCAGTCTGCTTTAACATATGATAAAACACATGATAAGGTCATCGGATTTGAAGATTGGGGTCATAAGAGAACAATAAAAATTGCAGATCATGCTATTGCTTTTTATTTACGATGCCTAAAAACAGGAAATAAGATGCCTTTAGGATATGGTTTTTGTCAAGGTAGTACTAAGACATTTCAACTAGTACGATGTATAAAGGAATGGTTGTTTCATATAATTAAGTGCGGCTTGGTACCAGTAGCCACAGTATGTGACCAAAGTGCTACTAACGTGGCAGCAATCAATGCCCTAATAGATGAGAGTAACAAGATTTATATTACAACGAATATACACACAGGTACAATTACTATATTGTTAAATAATATTTTTATTAACAATCGTATATAACAAAACAATTTTCTACAATTAACAATAATAATATTGATGTTGTTTCAGATGGCTTCTTTATAAGAGGAAAAAAAATTATCCCAGTATTCGATTATGTACACTTAATAAAGGGAATTAGAAATAATCTGTTAATAAGAGACTTATGGACAAATACAAATATAAAACCTAATGAAAAAAAGAAATATGCTTCTTGGGATGACATTATTATGGCATACGAAATTGATAAATTTTCTTTTCTCAAACTACGTCAAATGCCAAAACTAACAGATAAACATATTTATATTAAAATGATTCCCAAAATGAGAGTGAAATATGCGACTCAAGTTTTAAGTTGTACTGTTTCCAACTTTATAGACGTAATCCTAAATTTTAGTGAAGGTAAAATTATATTTAAAATCTGTGAAATTGTACGTAATATATAAACATATGATTTTTATATACTTTCTATAACCTACTGCATTATATCTTTATTATTGCAGGAGTTGTTAAAACACAGCATGGTAATATAACGTTCTCTGAAACCGCTGAAACTACATCCACCATCTTATCATTTTTCAATGATTTGTTTAATTCCTTTAATGGGAATAAAGGACAAGGACTGAGCAGCATATTAACAGCAAACAGTGGACATATTTCTTTCTGGAAAGAAGCATGCAATAAATTAAAAAACATGCAATATGTTGAAAAAGGAACTCGTCAAATAATTAAAAAGAATGGCCCAAAATGTTTGAAAAACTGGTTTCGTAATATTAAAGCTGTACAAGAGATATGGAACATATTACAGGATGCTAATTTTGAAACATTCAATTTGAAGTTTCTTAATCAGGATATTATCGAAAACTTTTTCAGCCAAATTAGAAATTTTGGAGGCAGTAACAATAATCCAAATCCGAAGCAATACCAAGAAGCTTTCAAAGCTTTGTTAATATACAATGTAACATCTAAGCATTCTTTTGGAGCAAACTGTGCAGAAGATAGTGTAGGAACATCTTTAGCTCTATCACATTTGATGGATTTGGATGAAATAGCACACGAAAGAGAAGCTGTCGAGCAAGATATAGAAGAAACAGAAGAAACACCTATTTCTCAAACTACAAGTACTGAATTAACAATAGATCCTCTCAAAATTATTACCATTGTTAGTCATGATCAGAATGTTGTAGAATGCACAATATGTTCCAATAATCTGAACGATGTAAAACTTTTACATTTTATACAACATGTGAATGCTACATTTGAAATTAAATTCCTAGATATTTGCTGTGAACTTAAAGTAGCAGAGAAGGTACAAACAATTTTAGAAAAAGAACAGCATTTATTACTGTGTAGCCATTACTGTCGCAATGTACACATTTAATAACAATACTTTTTACAACTATAAAATATCAATTTATTAAAACTTGGTGTACACATATCAACAACATTTTATGTAAAAAGATAACAACAGATAGCGATAATTATATGTATAAAGCAGCAATGCGAATATCAACAAAATATTCAAAAAAAAACAGTGAAAAAAAATAAAATAAAGAATAAGTATACATTGTTTTAAATTGTTTATTTTTTTAAAATTGCTTTTTAGTTATTCATTTTGTTCCAAATCCAATAAATTGATTAAAATTTAAATATAAAATTAAATATACTAAAACGAATAAGAGCTCATCTTTATCGATCGGTAAGTTACTTTGCTACGTAGTTCATATATTATTGGGGGTCATCTTTTAGATGGCGTTAAAATACTGGTCAGAAATTTTACATGGAAGTTTAACAACCCTGGTGTAAACGTAGTCAGTAATAAAGGATTCACATTGGCCGCGTTCAGTAGAATAAAGTGATCAGAGAGCGCTTAGTGATTATTATCTGTGATTGGAGCATTCTGTTAGATTCTTCATAGACCCAGAAGTATTTACCAATCAGAAGCGATTCAGTGGAAAATCTAGTAATGTTGTCTAAAGCTAAGACTCCATGCATGCGGTGAGCTCCGGCAAACGGCTGCGGTGACCAATCAGGAGACAGACGCATGCCGGAGCTTGCCGCAACCGGACTTGCGCCTCCCTCCTGATTGGTCACCGCAGCATTTGCCGCAGTTCACCGCATGCATGGAGTCTTAGCTTTACTGTTGAGTCTGCTGAATGCAGCAATTGTGTCTGATGTTCGACGTACGATCGTGGACATAAAGGTTATCACTTTTTTTTAATGACTTTCGGGACGCATCCCGATTCGAGAAAGATGAGAGCTGCTGCTTCGCCTGCGGAGCACGCCTGCGCAGTAACTCACAACGAAAGGCGAGAAATGAAATATACGTGGTATGACATAAGTATGTCAGTCTTTTGTTCGCTTCCGTGGCGGTTGGATATGGTTTCTGTAACTACGCATATTTTTTTGTTCGTTGGGACTGCGTATGCGTTGTCCCTGTTTTCTTTTACCTCTGCTGGAAAATAGCCTTACAAAATTTAATCTATCTACACCGTGAGAGTGGCGTTGGAGCAGTACCCTACTTTGCTCAGAGCCATTTATTGAATTGAATTGAATTGACATAAGTATGTCAACAGTCATTGTTCAGCAGGGGAAATCGCTCAGTGAGCGATTAGTGACTAAATAAATACGATTTCACTTAAAATTTAATATACATACCTGTTCAATACCTTGCAAAAGACGCATTCCCATTTGAATGACTTGCACTATGTATCTATCCCTCCGCTGCTGATTTTTCAAAATGTAAGAATTGGGTGCGTTCATGAGCTTTTACATTTGATAAGTATATTCTTTTAGATTTAAAAATATACACCAATCAGATGCAAGAGCTCACTTAGCGCTCAGTGAGCGGTTGTAAGTACTGAATGCACCCATTAATTGGTTTATTTTTTTCAGCTGCAGTCACAGACTTCTATAGTATAACTAGACTGCTAACTCCGACTCAATACATGACCCTGAAAAGTATGTACTGTCCTGGTGTCCAACATTCATGTCTGATTGGTTGAACCGAAACACATTTCTTCTAATTGGATGGGCCATATTGCTTATGTAGTCCCTTTCCTTGTAGACTACCAATTCACGCATGCGCAGATGTTTGATTCCCTTATGTAATACATACTTTTTGGGGTCAATTTTGTGCTGCAGTATACAAGGGAGTTAGCAGTCTAGTTATACTATAGAAGTCTGTGGCTGTAGTGCGGAATTAGTGCAATAAGTTAGAATGAGACAACTATATTTTTTCTCACTTTAACTTATTGCACCAGTTCAGTAGTGCAGCTAAAAAGAACAGATCAAATGATAACGAGGCATAATTCGAATTTTGTTTTTTTTCGAATTGTGCTGCATTGTACTACATTTGTGTCATATTGTTCCACAATCCGCAACTCTGTAACTCAAAGTGTACTCAGGAAAATAAAAAAAACTAAATTTTGGTAGCCCTGCACTTTACGAATTTTGAGTTTTTCTTTATTGTGCTATATTTGTGCTGATTTATGCCGCAAACGCGAGACCGATAACTTTAATAACATTTGAGAAAAAAAATAAAAACGAAAATTTGCCAGCTCCGGACTTTTTAGGCTTAACTAGCACAATTCGACACAACTTTCAAAATTTCGAAAATATAAAAAAGATTTGTCTTGCCCACTTTTTGCAAAATTTTTGCAATTTTCGGAATATGTCTTACAAGGAGATGCCACGAACTGCTAACTCTACTTTTGAATGAGCTATAGTGCATTCGAAAGGGAAGATCGAGAATATAAACCGTGTCAGAGCTTTTGGGTGTATGGGCTTTAGTTTCGGAGAAAATTTATTGTAAAATGATGTATTTTTCAGCTGTACGGTAAGTACAATGGATAGCCATAATTTTGCATGAAGCGCACTGGCTGTGCAGGTTAGGCGTGCGGCTACTACGTTGCGTCCGTGCGAGCAGAGTTCAATTCCCCGTAGTGACAACTTTTTTTTGTTTTTTTTAGAATAAATTGTTTATGAATTAATTGTAAATTTATTTATTTATTATTCGTTATAGTAAGAGAACGTATATATAATGAAAAATATCAATAAATTTTGTGTTTTTATTGTACTGTATGTTTTTATGTATTGTTTATTTATTGTACTTTATTCATTATAAAATTCCGACATCATTGTACAATGTTGCGGGTGATAATTTATATAAAAACATTCGAAGCATAAATGGATCGCACACCATGAACATTTTATAAACGAAAACTGCGTATTGCAGATACATTTTTTCTTATGTACATCCGGTGGAAAACACAATTGATTAATATTATAAAATATGTCACGTTTATCTGCTAATTTTGACGCGTACCAAGCGAATTCAATCATTTTTACATATCGCGGAGCACATAATAAATAATGAGTTAATGATTGAATTCGAATTGCATCATATAACGGACTTTTTAAGAAGTTTCTAGTATTTGTCTGTGGCACATGCTCACAGACAACAACCGTTAGGACCGTGACCCTAAAGTCCGTTCAATTTCCCTCACTGTTCTCACGTGTGTCGATCAGTAAGCAAGTCTGCGAGCATCCTTTGTGTTAAATTGATTTTATATAATAAAAATGGAAGGGTCAAGTGTGGATTTGTTTTTGAAAGAACATATCCAAGCATTGGCAAAGTGTGATATTACAAAAGAAGATTTAACTGACAGCATTACATATTTTAAAGGTAATAAATAATTAAATAATTTAATAATCAAATAACAATAATTAAATAATTTGTGTGTATATTTTATAAACACTCACATTTGTGAACATATGTAGAAATATACAAAGATATTTCCTTTTTTGCAGATATGCTAATAAAATTTGATTTGATTTATGCTGAAGTACCTAAAAAATTTACGCATTCGGCTAAAGAGGTTGCTGGAAAATTATTCGAAAGCTTTGTTTCAATGTTAGGAAAATGTATGATGGTAGAAGATGTGAAATATTTTTTACCAAACAAAAAAGAAGTAGAGAATATTCAAGAAGAGGAACTGCAAGAATCGACATCATCAACATCGGAGGAAGAATATGTGCCACCTGAGAAAGTTTCATATCAGGATAGAGTGCCTTTTGATACAAAATTAAAGATTGTTATGACCGCAAACGAGCATCCAACGTGGAGTTTTCATGGTCTACAAAAGCGATTTAAACAACATTTACGCCACAAAACTGATATTGCACGATTTAGAAAAGATGTAATAAATGGTGGCACTTATGCAGAAAAACTGGATAATGTAAAAAAATGTGTCTATGATCGATTTTCTGAAGCATGTGACCATAAACAATTAGTAACAAGGCGACAATTACAGCAGTGGGCTACTGCAATGCAATTTCGAGATGCAGGCAACAAAACAGAAGGAAACGTTTTTCAATTTACAGCATCAGCATCTTGGGTAACGAATTTTATTAAAAATTATGGCATTTATAATCGTCGCATCGTTCGCTATGTATCCAAAAGAGAAATGAAATCGCCAGAAGAAGTTTCCAAATCTGCAATACAATTTCAAAACTTGATACAATCAATTTCTACGGATTACAATTCTGATTATATTATCAATACATTTGGTACATGGAGTACATTTTGGCGGTATTATTTGCAATTTGCAAATAATACCGCCAAAATGTACTCCAATCTGCCAACTTTGCGACGTTTATTTTTATAGGCAAGTGAAAATTATTATAAAACGTATTCAAAATTGTCCGGATATTATGGTTAGCGAAGAAAAGAAAGAATTAAATTCGCGATATGATGCAATTCGAATTCAATCATTAACTCATTGTTTATTATGTGCTCCGCGATATGTAAAAATGATTGAATTCGCTTGGTACGCGTCAAAATTAGCAGATAAACGTGACATATTTTATAATGTTAATCAATTGTGTTTTCCACCAGATGTACATAAGAAAAAATGTATCTGCAATACGCAGTTTTCGTTTATAAAATGTTCATGGTGTGCGATCCATTTATGCTTCGAATGTTTTTATATAAATTATCACCCGTAACATTGTACAATGATGTCGGAATTTTATAATGAATAAAGACACAGTACAATAAAAACACAAAATTTATTGATATTTTTCATTATGTATACGTTCTCTTACTATAACGAATAATAAATAAATAAATTTACAATTAATTCATAAACAATCATTTATTCTAAAAAAAACAAAAAAAAGTTGTCGCTACGGGGAATTGAACTCTGCTCGCACGGACGCAAAGTAGTAGCCGCACGCTTAACCTGCACAGCCAGCGCGCTTCATGCAAAATTATGGCTATCCATTGTACTTACCGTACAGCTGAAAAATACATCATTTTACAATAAATTTTCTCCGAAACTAAAGCCCATACACCCAAAAGCTCTGACACGGTTTATATTCTCGACCTCCCCTTTCGAATGCACTATAGCTCATTCAAAAGTAGAGTTAGCAGTTCGTGGCATCTCCTTGTTAGTCGTTTCTTGTTGTACTCGGCTACCACAATTCTGCACAAGATTAGAAATAATTTTCAGATCACTACACTTTTAAACCGTGGTAGATATTCGAATTCTGCGAGTTGTGCTGAGTAGTTAGATCAGTTTTATTTGTAAAAAAACTTGTTTTATTTGTAAAAAAAATGTTTTTTTCGAAATTACGCAGACAATTTCTAGCAATAATACAATAACACCAACAGGTGGTAATTTTTTATGATTTTTATATTTGATCTTATAACTTTCATACTCAATTATGAATACACACATATATATATGTTGTAAATATTAACATGTAATAATTAATAAATTTTAATTATTATTAATATTAATTCATTTGGTTAACGTTAATAATTTAAATGATAGTAGTAACTTAAGATATTCATTTTCTTGCAAGGAAATTCAAACATATCTATCTGATTTAAAAAAAATTTCTTTGTATGAAATTTTCATAAATCAGCATGCAAAGTTATATGATGGATTATTGAACGTTTGCAGCAGGAAAATGAACAAAGTTTAGTACCAAGGATTTGAGGCGATATGATTCAAGTTAGTGAATAATGTATATTAGCCACATATTGAATTTTTTATATTATAACACATCGATCAATAAGTCCCGGGACTAACTACTAAAATAACATTTGTTTGCCAAAATTCTTCTTTATTCATCAATATAGTCTCCTTCAAGAGCGATACATTCATTCCAACGCTTTCCTAACTTTTCTATGCCAGCCGTATAGAACGATCTTTAGTTTCAAAATAGGCGTTAGTTTCGGCAATCATTTCTTCATTGGAGCCAAATCTCTTTCCCTGGAACATCTTTTTGAGGTCTGCGAACAGCCAATAATCGCTGGAGACCAAATCTGGAGAATACGGTGGGTGCGGAAGCAATTCGAAGTTCACAACTCATGCAATTTGGCCATCGTTACCATCAACTTGTGACACGGTGTAACGTCACTAAAACCACTGTAACTCAATGACACAATGTCGGAATGTCATGAAAGTTTATATTGTTAACATAAATAAAATCCAACTGTAATATCAGCAAAAGTAGCGATAACAGAATGATTCAACAAGGATTTTAAAGCTTGGAGTCCCTATTCAAGCACATTAAATTTATTAAATGAGTATTAAATAATAATAACGTAATTTTTTGATAAGGTATATAAAGAAAACAAGAAATGATATTGTTGTGCCCACGCCTTTGGGGAACGTATTGTTCCCACGCTCTTGGGAGAAGACTGTGAAGAAGGCATATAGAGAATGTTTGACAGCTGTTATCGTTGTCAAGGAGTTTGTTTACTAACAACTAGAGTTGAGAGTCGCTCTAGTCCTGTCACGGCGTACGGACGTAAAGCGAATTCGTGCGATTATTTTGAGATTGATTAAGATCCGTTTTTCTTGGCTGTAAATAAAGCTTTTCTCGTTTAGTTTATCCCGAGTTATTTCTTTCACGCGCGGGCATAACAATATAATAAAAATAATATAATAAAATATAAAAAAAAAATAAAAAGACAGACACTTTCCGCAGATCATATTTACATTTATTAGTACATGTATGCAACACTTTTATATACCTCTTGAAAGATCTTTAATTTCAATTTAGTTGTCACTTGCTTTTTATATATATCTACCAAATACTATCCGTAATATTGTTTTGATCGCAGCACATAATTGCATTTTAATACAACAATGTTACTTTCACTGGATTCCTTTAGCACGTTATGCTCAAAGATAGCCAATCCTTGTCACTAGTTATATTTTATGACACAAATAATCCAAATCTAATTGCTGTTTCTAAAGCACAGAGCTTGGCTCGTATGATTGTCAGTAAATTGATGCACTCTTTATACGACAAATATGTCAAACAAGAGGATAATCTCTATCTCGAATTCTATGTGTCATTTACGCATGGCTTGACTATCTTTGTGATGTGTCACAGTAAAAACATCTAACATATATATAAATCTCCAGTGAGATATCATTTCTAAATGTACCTAAACTATTATTGGGAAAAGAATATGTGCGAATCCCGAATATAGAAATAGAAAAATATATATGTCACAGGAAAGTGCTCGGGGCATTCAGTTGAGAGTTCTGAACAGGAGTACTAAAGTTATAATTCTGCCTTTCGAAGATCTGTCTTCTAAATCGTAAAATATCACATTCTTCGTTCGATATATCTCTAACAATTCAGTTCCAGCAAAGAGATAAAGCGTAACAGAGGTATAAATACATAGCGATATCTCTAATACCTAAATATTCTCTTTGTGTCTCTATTCCTCTCTCCTTCTCCCTCTCCACACACATCCTCCCTTTCTGTGTGCACAACTCTCTTATATTCGAGATTTCTTATTATAAAAGGAATAAAAATAAAAATCAATTTTGTCGAAGAGGAACTCTTGAGCCTAGATTATGTACATTGTACGGAAGTAAAAGTAGCGACCGTTAATATAAAATTATATCAACAATAATTATCACATTGTAATACCCGCTTTGGAAGAGTATTGCACTTTTGAAATATATACATAATCAATTGATCAATATTTACTAATGTACGTAATTTGATGTAATGCATGAATATACAATTGAACATAATGTGGCACATATGAAAGGAACACTAACTTTGTCACAGAAATGTAAAGAATATTTGAAAGAGCATCGATATAAAATAAAAAGATACTTTGATTGTTTCTCTTAAGAACTGGTTATCTTTCAGTTGGCTTCTTAATCTCAGGACTTTACTCGAAGTGTGAAATATGTTACAAAAGAATCTAATTTAACTTTCCTGTATGTCTATTGTGTTAACCGCTTTCAAATATTATTAGCTCACCACCAACATTCCCGATTTTACAATTATTCTCTTATTATTTTCATTAAGTTGTATTGTTAGGATCGGAGGTTTACGTTACGATGAAGTCGGTGGTTTGTACCTCACGAGGTGACCAGAGTAATGCAACGGACCTTGAAGAACAATCATATAAACGTTTGTTATTCTAATGTATTCATGACACGATACTTACCTCAAACATGAGAGTGGCATTGTGTTGACGCGATAGTATAGTATCACTGCCAGAAGAATGCTCCAAGTGCGCAATGGGCACAATATCGTAGCTAGTGTGCCATACGCCAACCAAAAGAAATAAGCCATTGTGGTTTGCATCGCAATTAACAACGCAAACGGTAAGTGTCGCCAGATTAATCTTAATTTCGACAACGGCTGTCTCACTGAATGCTCAGCGTCTTGCAGTCTGAAGCACAAGTGATTTGAATCAGTATAGTACTTTTTTTCTTCAACCTCATAGCGATATCACGCACCTACGATCGACTTGATGCGCCAAAATCAGCATCAGTGGTAGGTGGAAAGAGAACAGCTGAAAGAATCCATAAGCGTAGGTGAAAGCACCCGGCAGATACGCATTTCCGACGAATGTACCCCACGCGAAGATCACGCCTATGTGATTCTCAATTACTTCTCCCACTGTCCAAGGGCCTATATTGCAAAGATGAACCAAAGTTTTAGAATTTATAAACATTTAAAAATGACGTGTGTATTAACTGACGTACATATTAGTGATATTATTGCAATAAGTGATTAAGAAGAAAATGTACACATAAGTGTCTTTTGTAATATAAACTTGAATACTCACCAACGGCCAAATACAAAGAGTACAGTACCAACGGGAAAAATAATCTATCGATAGTAGATAGTATCCACAGTTTCCTTAACCACCAATGAAAAAATCTAATGGGCAGCCGCGGTCGATGCATATATTTATCTGCGTTAAAAGATACTTTAGTATGCATGCTTCTTATCGAGAGGTATAAGATAAGATTCATATAAATTATATTTACTTTCACAGAGTATATGAAGAAAGCGAAGTAAGCACAGCGGAGCTACCAGCAATGCCAATATAGTGCAGAATAGGAACTGAAACTATATGAAACGATGACGTTAAGTTATAACACGCACGTCCTTATATATGGAGATATAATCATAATCATGACAATCTTTGAGCGTTTAACTCACAATATGGCTGACGTCGAACATGAGCACCAATCGGGGCAAAATTCTGAACGACAGCCTCGAGCCGTCCAGAGAAAACGGATGCGATAAAATTTTTTCTCTATCTTCCTCGTCAACTACACGTACCTGAAATATACCATATAGATTCGGCCATTTGACGCAAAGTTTATAGTGCTTGAACATTGATAAGCAATCGAGACGTTTACTGAACTGTGATCTGATGAATACCGTCCTTGTACATTGTTGTATTCCACGGCAATACGTAAAGTGGTCCCTTTACATGATCACATGTTTGCCAGACACTATCGCTCAATTGAATTTCCACGGTCTTCACCGGAACTGTTGAGAACGCCAGCACTCTGCAGCGAACACACAATTTTTATGGACATTTTAAAAATGGAAGAATCGTCAAGTTAAAGAACACATTTACCTGATATGCGTGGATGCGATAATGGATTTTAAATTTTCTCTTCGTGGCATCATGTATAACGCGTGTTTCGGATTCGTGATTAATGCTACAGGCCAATCATTGTGCTTTACATCAATGAATGAGAATTGGCCATGATCTACTGCCGCAAGGCGATACCTAGCAAAAGCGTGTATCAGATAAGCATATATAAACAGCGTATCTAATATATGTGAACAGAATAACAAAGAAGTTAAGAGCAGAATATAACATTCTAAAACATAAAATATTCCAAGCATGGTTATTCTAAAAATTATATGTATCTTGACAGCAAAGAAACATTCAGGTGACCAAGTGACCAAGCAAAGCAGTCTATATTAATATTTTATATATTTATTATATATTTATTATATAAATAAATTCATTATTAAAATTATATACTGTACGCCCAATATATTATGTAATTGATATTTATCACAAACATTGCATATTTCAGAAAACAAAACTAGCGAAAGTGAAGTTATATGTTTGCAATTGTATGTTTCTCTGGAAAATATCAAAGTACATTTGCCGTACATTCTATTGTCTTTCCAATCTGCCAATTCCAGCTCAAGGAAGCCCGCTTGTTGCAACGTGTACATGTTGGGTACCATACCACCGAGCGTGTGATAATGACCACATAAATACACCATGCTTTCTTTATGTCTGCCTTTTAATATATAACGAATTTAGTAGGATTGTTCGTGTACTTATTCAATTCTTATATAATATATATTATATAATTATTATTTTACCTAGAATATTTCTGATACCGGTATCAGATTGTGACAATATGCATGATGTAGGGTAATGACCGAACCAAATGATGTAATCTGCACTGATATCTCTGGACTGATTAATCAAGTGCTGTATCTTATTGATCTCACGTTGATCTAAAACACCCACGAAATTAAATGGCCTCTTGGGACCAGGCTTCAAGCATGCATCGATTGCAAGGAAGGAATATGTTTCAGAACCAACGACAACATTGTATATGTAAGATCTCGGGTGCTTTTTTCCCTGAACAGAGTAATTGGAGTAATAATTGTTTTTGGAATTAAGACTGACCACGTTAAAGTTATCTGAAAGCACATTAATAATCCTATAACATAATTCTCTTGCTGAGTATTATACTATGCAAATTTACACGTCAGTTTTTCTCACCATGATTTCCCCTAACATCTAACCACAATGTTTTTTCTTTAATATTAGTCTCATCTATCACATGTTTATAATACTGCCATTCTGCGAGTATCTGCTTAGAACCCATTTTATCTTTAGCTTTGGCATCAGTCAAGTCTCCTATAAAGATAAAACTGTGAAATACTTCAATCTGATACATCAATTGATATATGTACAAAATAGCTTGACATATGATAAAATGTATATTACCTGAAGCAAGGACAACTACAGGCTTAATCGCATTTACTGTTATATTGCAGAATTTCTTTAATTCTGATATTCTAGATGGATCTTGAAAGATACTTATATGTATGTCTGATATCTGAAGACATAAAAAACTCTATTACAATGTATCTCTTTGGTATAACAAGATGCCAAAGTAAATCGTGCTATTAATTACCTGAACGAATATATTAACAAACCTGTAGGAACCACATCACATGATCATATGACTTTCCTATATCATAATACTTTGGTCTAGACCCATGGGTCTCCGCATCAATTTCTTGTACTGATTCATCCTGCAGATGAGAGTCAACATTGATAAGATCAGCCACGTTCGCTACGAAGATGGACAGCATCAGCACAAAGATCAGGAGGACAACGGTGGATTTTGCTATTTTCATGTCTGCTTCTGCTGGATTTGCGTTTTGCGATGACAGCGATGTTTCCAACGACGGCAACTAATGACAGTGTGCACTATTACCGGGGTAATAGGAGAGGTTTGGTCACCTGCTTCGAGAGCCCGGTAAACAGACGTGCCGTCGATTTTCATGGAAGTCAGTAGTACTTGGTGATATCCAACGTCTTCGTCGGACAACGAGAGCAGGGAAGACAATCAATCAACTCAGAGGCTCACCTTAGAATCATATCTCTTGCGTTTGCCGTGCGGCAAACGACGGGCATACATCGAAATGTTGCGACGCACTTTTAAATCCCATTAGATCCCCGTGGATCCTCGGTGGCCATTGGGAATTAGGATGAAGCGAGCGGCATCAGCTGTGTTTCATGCGCATGACGCATTCGAGTAAGGCGACAGTTCCCCGAAAAGTGGAGGGGATAACATTGGTACCAATGAAAATCTCTGCACGATATAATTTTAGTTTCTGTAGATTAGTACCACTGTTGAAGTAGTAAGTCTGTTAGTTGCGTAAACCTTTCGACAGATGTGCGCGCGTGTAAATAATACTGTACAACTATTATATAGAAAAACGTAAATATAAAATATATTGTAGTATTTCATTAAAATAAAATTAAGAAAAAATGACAAGTAAATGGAAACCTAAAATACGTAAAATACGTAAAATACGTAAGTGAGATAAATAAGTGAGAATATAAGTAATAAAATAATAAGTGAGCATACAAAGTGAACAAGAGAAAAAAATAAATAAAACAAGAGAAAAAAATAATAAATATTGTATTTACATAAGTTGCGTGTGTGTGTGTGTGTGTAAGTAGATAAACAATAATTATATGTAATTAAATAATTTTAATTTTTCACTGTTTTGACATGTTACAGTAAATATTACTCGTTGTTGGAGCATAGTTCTTCGCACTGGAATCAATTTACCTTTATTGTCATCAAATGTATGTCAAATATATTGTCAAATATATGTCAGATAAGTAATTTATATTTACATAAGATAAAAAATTAAATATTCATGTGCTGTTTATAATTGTAGTATGTTGTTAAATTGATTCTTTCCTTTGATTTAATTTTTGTTCCAGTTTTCCCAGCTATGTACGTGTTTGCAGAATGTTAATAGAGAATAATTATTGTGGAATAAGATTGCCACATTCCAAGCTTTGATGAACATCACTCATGGTTATAGCATCGTTCTTCGCACCTGGATCAATTTGCCATCATTGTCATCTGTGGAATGAAATTCATGCATGATGAGAGAAGTGTAAGCAAGGAAATTAGAGAGATATAAATCAAGGATAAACAATTATATCAGATAAGTAGTTTATATTTACATAAGATAAAAGAAAATATTTATGTTCATGCTGTTTATAATTGTACATGTTGTTGAACCGATTCTTTCTTTTGAATTTTTTTTCAATTTTCCAGCAATCCATATGCTCGCTGAAAGTTGATACCCAGAGAATAATTTTCTGTGAAATAAGGTTGCCAAATTTTGAAGGTACTGTGTCCTAGTTATAAACAGAAGTTGAAATTACATTCTGATGTCAAATATCCGTCACCAGCAAAGCCACGACAGATTGACGAGAGCAGGTTTGTAAAATTGATGTTTACTATTATTTTTTATCGACGTTTTCTATAGATATATTCGATGTTTATTACCATCTTGTAACAATACTTCCATCTTGGACCAATATATATTGGTCCAATATATATTGGTCCAATATATATTGGATATATATATCCAATCCAACCAAATATAGGAATAGCAGATTTTGAAAGAGCAGAACGAAACGCATTAAAAATTGTTTTTCCTAGTATTAAAGTAATTGGCTGCTTTTTTCATTATAGCCAGGTAATAAAAAATAACAACACATATAATAATAAACATGAAATGTACATCACTTTTCTTTATATTACTTCCTTATTACAAGCGTTAGTACATAATGCAAAAAAGCATAGAATATTAAAGGACAAAAATAATAATGAAGAAATAGGATATGGTGCAATTAAATTATTAATATCTTTAGCTTTGTTGCCTGAATCTTTAATAAAGGAAGGCTTCAATACAATTTCAACAATAATTTTTGCCAATTGCAAATATAGTGAGCCATTTCTTAATTATTATAAAAGAACATGGCTTAACGGTTTTAAACCCGAGTCGTTCTGTGTATATAAACAATTACATAAAACTAATAATATATCAGAGCGACATAATAGAGGATTCAAAGAAAAACTGAATAAACATTCTATAATCGTCGCATTTTTAGATATTTGTACACAGTGTTACACTTATTTTCAGAATATTTTTAATGTTTTTATAATTAAATATTATTTACAGCAAACTTGGCAGACCATCAAAAAAATATATACAGTATTATTAATCACCTTGCATTTTGGTCAAGATCTGAGAATAATATTTTAAAGGAAAAAGAAGAAAAATTACAAAAAATTTGGAGCAAAATAAATAATAATACAAACATAGATATGTTATTAATTTTATACGAACTGTCAGAATTAATAGGAAGAGAAATAAATTTATAAACACGTTCTTAATTTTTTTATTCTTCTTTTAATTTTCCTTCTTGTTGCACAAACTTGCGATTATCTGACTTCTCATGGCTTATACATCTACTTATAATACATGATTTTTATTTTGCTACAGGTATTTCTTTTAAAAATTGATCCTCAATTTTTGGAGAAACTATATATTTCTGTATCAGATTTCAAATCCTAATAACCATATTTGTAGAGGCAAGTATTGGCAATAAATCCTATTTGAAAGATAAAAGCTGAAAGATAAAAAACATATGATTCAGTACACTCAACAAGATGGTAATAAACATCGAATATATCTATAGAAAACGTCGATAAAAAATAATAGTAAACATCAATTTTACAAATCTGTTCTCGTCAATCTGTCGTGGCTTTGCTGGTGACGGATATTTGACATCAGAATGTAATTTCAACTTCTGTTTATAACTAGGACACAGTACCTTCAAAATTTGGCAACCTTATTTCACAGAAAATTATTCTCTGGGTATCAACTTTCAGCGAGCATATGGATTGCTGGAAAATTGAAAAAAAATTCAAAAGAAAGAATCGGTTCAACAACATGTACAATTATAAACAGCATGAACATAAATATTTTCTTTTATCTTATGTAAATATAAACTACTTATCTGATATAATTGTTTATCCTTGATTTATATCTCTCTAATTTCCTTGCTTACACTTCTCTCATCATGCATGAATTTCATTCCACAGATGACAATGATGGCAAATTGATCCAGGTGCGAAGAACGATGCTATAACCATGAGTGATGTTCATCAAGGCTTGGAATTTGGCAACCTTATTCCACAATAATTATTCTCTATTAACATTCTGCAAACGCGTACATAGCTGGGAAAACTGGAACAAAAATTAAATCAAAGGAAAGAATCAATTTAACAACATCTACAATTATAAACAGCACATGAATATTTAATTTTTTATCTTATGTAAATATAAATTACTTATCTGACATATATTTGTTGATGACAATGAAGGTAAATTGATTCCAGTGCGAAGAACTATGCTCCAACAACGAGTAATATTTACTGTGACATGTCAAAACAGTGAAAAATTAAAATTATTTAATTACATATAATTATTGTTTATCTACTTACACACACACACACACACACACGCAACTTATGTAAATACAATATTTATTATTTTTTTCTCTTGTTTTATTTATTTTTTTCTCTTGTTCACTTTGTATGCTCACTTATTATTTTATTACTTATATTCTCATTTATTTATCTCACTTATTACGTATTTTAGGTTTCCATTTACTTGTCATTTTTTCTTAATTTTATTTTAATGAAATACTACAATATATTTTATATTTACGTTTTTCTATATAATAGTTGTACAGTATTATTTACACGCGCGCACATCTGTCGAAAGGTTTACGCAACTAACAGACTTACTACTTCAACAGTGGTACTAATCTACAGAAACTAAAATTATATCGTGCAGAGATTTTCATTGGTACCAATGTTATCCCCTCCACTTTTCGCGGACTGTCGCCTTACGTTTCCGAGATATAAGTCTGTAACTCTTTAACTAACTCACCCAGTATACGTCTTGAGATACGTCTTGAGTGGCGTGCAAAACTTTTGAGCCACACAATTATTATTATATATTCATTTCATAGTGAGCGCTAAAAACTTTACACATATATATAAACAAAATGTATTTATTTGTCCTACAATTGTATAAACTTTACAAACTCCTAATAATCTAAATACTTTATATTTACACAATGTCTTATTACAAACAGTGCAAAAGTATTGCGCCAAAAAGTTTTCTTATGCATAAGAAAAATATATTATTGAAAAATAATAACAAAAAATGTTGTCAACGTTTTTTAAACTTAATAATTTATTGCCATGCCTTTAGAAGCAATCATTGTAGCATAACGACAAGACATTGATGCTATTAAATTAGAAATGCGATCTTGAGATAAATTTTGCCATTGAATTTGCAAATCTTGCCACAATTCAGCTTTATTCGAGTGTTTCTTATTTTCTGTTCCGAATAACTGAAACTTTGACTCGTCAGAGAAAAGTACTTTTCGCCAATCAACTTCAGCTCAATATTCAAATTTCCTTGCAAAATCTAATTGAGCTTTCTTATTTTGTGCACTAATTAATGTTTGTTTTTACACCAGCACGTCCTAAAAGGTCTACTTCTTTTAGACGTCGAGATATTGTACTTCGACTAACATCAGCAAGATTTTCATTTCGTAGTTCTCGAGAAATATTCATGGCAGTTTTTCTAATATCTGCTATCGACTTTCTTTTAATTATTTTATCGACGCGCTTTGTAGTTTTGCAAGGTTCTGCAAGGTTTTGCAAGGTCTATTGTTTCGTGGTTTATCAGCTAGAGAGTTCGTCAACTTATATTTAGCAATAATCCTATTTACAGTACTTTTATCAATTAATAAGCAATTAGCAATTTCGCGAGAAACCTTTCCTTCTCAAGAAAGATTAACCACGGCTTTGCGTAACTGAAGGCTTGTATGTTTCGGCATTGCGGTAGACAATAGACTGAAACTTAGTTAAAGCAAATATTTACGAAGGAGTTTCATAAGAAACGTAAACAAACCAGGCTCATAAAGTCACAACAAGAATACGGCTCAATACTTTTGAACACATGTAAATATTATATGACTAAATAATTAAAAACTATGTAATTTCAAAATTTTGTAACTGTACTATTATTTGTAAGAATGTCATGTCAACTATTTTATGTAATTAATTTTTAGAGTAAATCAATATATTGTCATGTATCTTAGAAAGATACTATGGCTCGAAACTTTCGCACGCCACTGTATATCTATTGATATCATGAAGAAATTCCTTCCAACATTCTTATTTGCCCTGGCCTTATTCGTGTTCATGTCTGCACATCTTCCCTCGATAATGTCTTTCTTTTTAATTAATATTTATATTTATTTATATTTAATTTATATTTATATTTATTTTTTATTTATATTTATATTTATTTATATTTAAGGAAACTTTTCTGCTCTGTAGTCCAAGTAGCTTTCCTACTTTTTTATTTGTTGTATCCATTGAGAATAATTTTACTCTCACAAATTAAAAAAAGAAGAATCTCAAAATGTAAACATGTTTATAGCCTCAAAAGCCGCAGTTTGACAATTCCTTGGTGATTACATTTCATTCGCTACGAAATATTTGAAAATAAGTTTGAAATTATTAAATATAAGATCTTACTATCGGAATGAATACTGTCGGAAGAGCTTAATTTCTTTAGTCCGGATATCAAATTTCAACCATTTCGGACAAATGTCTAAATAATATAGCCTTAGTTCATCGTTAGTCCATAGATAGAAACTAGACCATCGAAGAACTAACTAAGCCAGGACTAAAAAAGGGTACGGTTTTACACATACGAGGGCAGTCTGAAAAGTTTTGAGCCTAACGTAGAAACAAGTATTTTTTCGGTCAAATGTAGTTTTATTTTTCAACATAGTCTCCTTTTAAGTCGACACATTTTTCCCAACGATGCTCTAATCTCTTTAACCCTTCCAAATAGTAGTTGGCGTCTTGCTCCGCAAAATAGGCGTTTACGTATGCGATGACCTCCTCGTTCGATGAAAATCTCTGTCCTCCAAGCGAAACTTTAAGCTTGGAAGAAAGGAAAAAGTCATTGGGGGCCAGATCTGGTGAGTACGGTGGGTGGTCAACCAATTAAAAGTGCAATTCATGAATTTTGGCTATGGCGACCGCCGATTGCGTTTTTGGTCCAAAGTGAGCAAGCGCGGCACCCAACGCGCGGATAGCTTACGCATGTCCAATTCTTCAGTCAATATATGACAAACGCGTTCTTTCGATATGCCCATAGCCTCTGCTATCTCTCTAACCTTGATTCGACGGTCGTTCAGTACCATTTGATGAACATTTTCAATGTTATCGATGGTGGTCGCAGTTTTTGGCCGTCCCGAACGCTCATCATCAGCCAAGGTGGTACGACCACGTTTAAATTCAGCTGCCCATCTTTTCACGGTGGCAAATGATGGGACAGAGTCCCCGTAAACAGCGTCCAACTCGGTTTTTGTTTGCGCAGGCGTATTACCTTTCAAATGCAAGAATTTAATCACGGCACGATATTCGATTTTTTCCATTTTTACAAAAACACTGACATCGACTAACACAAACGACTGCCAAACAACAACTGAGCGTCCAAAATGGCTGAAATTTTTCAGTCATCTTTCAAAGCATATATCATTGTAGTACCAGAATGGTTTTGGAATAGAGCCATCTTCATATTAAGGTTCAAAACTTTTCAGACTGCCCTCGTAGGCCCATATTCTGAACTCTTTTTTATCACTAAAAATAACTCTAAAAGTGACTTACAGCCAATCAGAAGGCTTATAAGTCACTTTTAAAGCGACTTTAGCAATAAAAGAAGAAGAAGAGCTTTGAACAGCATCCTTCATATTTAAAAATAAAATTCCGCTCCAACACTAAAATGACAGTCGAACCTCTCTAATTCGAGTGATTCATGAAACATAGATTTTCAGTACTGGCAATGGATATGTCGGAATGCAGTTCAAGATTAGTCGAAGAGGTTCGAAAAACTTCTCAAAGATAACGATTCGGCTTGAACGATCGATCCTTTCTACGCTGTTATATATGTATTTTTATGCACCAGCATATTTATTATTTATATCTCTCGAGACACAACTGCGATGTGAAAAATGCACGAATCTACGCGAAAGCGCCGGTGCAGCTGAAATTCCTCTTTTTCCGCGCCAATGCGAAAGTCGTTAATTAGGTTGGCAATTTTTTATACGCTATTATCATTTCGGCAGCGAGTGTCTCTAGCACGTCGTGTCTGTGAAGTTAGCACGACGTTTTAAAAATTATTAAAAAACAATGTTTGTTCCAATGTCTAGAAAACTGTCCAGAAAAAATTCTAGTTAAATTTTTTGTGACTTTCTGCTGTAAAAGTAAGAAAAAACAAATTTGTAATTTTAAGTATTCTAAATGGCATTTAATGTAGTGTGCAACGCGATATAATAAATGGATATATTATATGTATGTATTTACGTTAAAATATAGGCCAATATATTTTTAAGCAAGACTTTTTTCTCTAAAAATTCTTGCACTTCGTTCATGACGAAACAACATACACTGAATAATGATTTTTCTTCTTTTCTCCTTTGCTCTATATTTCTCAACGTTATCCATAAGACAAAAAACAACGGCGACGATTGTCATATGCAGAGAGTCTCTGTGTGAGTAGATGGAAGAAGAAAAATGTCGACAAGAGTTCCTCTCGATATAAGAGGAGAATTAATTGATACAAGAGGAAATCTTCTTGAAATAAGAGGAGAATAATTAGAATAATATCTAATAAATTTTAGATGAATGGTTTATTTTAATCGCTTTATCGAAAGTGAAATCCTCTGTTATAAGAGGCTTCGCTAAGAATATGAGACTATGGGGAAAATCACTTTACAAATAGAATATTTTTTTTTGTGGACGTTGTCAAATAAGATTACGTATAATTAATGAGGAGTTGAAAATTCCACCATTCAATCAAATGGACCACATATGTGTAACTTCGCAATAATGTTGAACCACGTCCATTTAGCAATCTCTTTCATTCGGTATATGTGGACGATCAATTTGAGAATTCACCCGAATTTTCTGCGAAGATACTTGCAGAAATGGAAGTAGATGCCTCGTAGGATCCTTGCGATGTGATTTTCGTCAAGCTTTCTTAATGTGCGCGTTCACTATCTGCAGATGACGAATATCGCGTGCGACTCGGCGAGAAAATTGTGCAATCCCCGATTCAGCGCGCCTAAAATTGTTGCAGTCTATCCGTTGCAAATGACGAACGTCCAGACGAAGTGCGTATGTAGTTCGAAATCGTATAATCCTAGCTTACTAACTAACGACTAAACCGGTGCAGTCTATCTGGCGAGGATATGACATCAGATTTCCTGCTGGCGGTCTAAATCTAATAAGTTCTGACCGCATTTGCTGACGATGTTAGGCGGTGTTAGACGCTAAATATACTTTGTTTTTTTGCAATGACTTACATACGAGTGAGATAATCGAGAGGAATTAGCGGGTATTCGTTCGCCTAAAGTGGACGCGCAATCTTAGAAATCTTAGAAATCTTAGAAATACTTTTACATCGCAATCGTCAGCCATTCCTATACTACTTTCTGACGATTAATCTATCGATTGTGCTAATTTTTCCTACAGAATAAATAGCAGTGAATCAAAACCGTGCCCTTAAAAGAAAGAATCGTAAAACAATAATTAATTAAATATTAAAATAGCGCAGTCGTAAGTAAAACTATGTACAACAAAATCGGAAGACAGACATTGATAGGATATGGAAATTCGAATAGTACAAAACACCTTAAGATCCTTCTGGATATACGAGCGATAAAACATTTGAAACAGTTTTGGAACATTTTTCAAGATAACTAGGACATACACATACACATCCGGAACAATAAAAATATTTTATGTTATTCAGAGATTTAAATAGCAAAGAAAAGAAAACTGTAAAGTTAATTTCTGATCTCGATGGTTACAGATTCATGACTATGCGACATCAATTCCCGCGAGTCTCTTTTTGTTTCACGATATTTCGGCAAATAGTGTAATTTTAAGGGACATAACACATTTCCGGAAGATTTTATCAGAGATTAATTTCCTTCTCTTCGTCAGATAGAGCTAATCCATCCATTTTGTTGCAACAATAAAAAATCAACGTTCTCGTGATTGGTAGTCTGAAGATCTAAGATAAAAGTCTCGGAAGCAGATAATATGCGGCTGATAAGAGAGAACCCACATTTACTGACGCGATAGGAAGTCGTCATATATCCGAGTCAGTTTAAACAGAGGGAGAGAAAGGCGTACTTAAATACGAAGAGTCGGCTTAAGGCTCACAAGTTCAACAGCAGCCACTGTTTAATTAGTATCAATTTTTCGAGAGTATCTGCTCCATTTGTCCTCTTTACTCAAATCGTTCCCGTGCAATTTACTTACCTTCACGTTACACAGTGTGTTACATTTATATTTTACTTCGTGTGAAAGAAAGAAGAAATACGACTGTGACAATGGTGTCAGAAAAATTATCTCCGACATTCTTGATAACAGTTTTTGTCATCTTACCGGTATGTGTGTGTGTATGTTGATGTTTTAAGAAATATTATATCTTACCAATTTTTTCGATATTATTATTCACCATATACAGGGAAAAATATCATGTTTTATGAAAAATATCATTGATATGAACCAAGAGATATCGCTAAAAGAAGCGATTACTCAGTTTCTTCCTTTTTTTAAGTAATAGTTATCTCCGTTAAAAAATATTTTCTTGATAATAGTCTTAAAATATACTCATTGTTTTTTCTTTAGAAATTTTAGAAGAACACTCAAAAGAAGAATTTATTCTTTTTTCAATAATATTATTAAAGGATTCTGCAGAATCTTTAGGGGAAGTAGCTTTCGGCTAAATTTTTTGAAGATTTGCCCCCAAACTCCCAGAAACCGCAAATTTGAGCCGCTGTACAGAACTTTGAATCCATTAATACTTTGGATCTATATATCAAAAACTATTATGTAGAAAATTTTTAAAAAGTTTAGCCGAAAGCCATTTTCTATTGTAGGAAAAAAACACGTGAATAGTGAGGATTATACAGGATGCGTCTTTATTGTTCGGTCACTTTGATCTCTCAGGATTTTCCGCGCCGCGTACATCTAGCTTACATATACAAGACAAAAACATTCTCGAAGATTCCATTCGTTTTCAAAGAGTTTCAAAGAGTTATCCACAATCAAACGTATCACCACGGATCTTTTGGAAATGAAAAAAATTGTGAAGATTAATCAGATTAAACTAAGAAGAAAAGTCAAGTATCATTTTGTAAAAATCGCAATAGTTATTAAGTTATTAAAATGATCACATTTTCAATCATTAATAACTTAATAACATCACAATCTAGAAGCTCTTTTAATTGATAACATGAACATTTGCATATTTATTTGCAAAATGGTAAAGGACTTTTTTGTTCAGAATGACCTAATTTACAATTATATGACGGCTATATTATAATAGCGACAGGTTTAAAATTCAGAGTTCAAAATTCAATATATCCATATCTATCGTTAGACACAATAGCCGTCATGTAATTGTAAATTAAGTTATCCTGAATAAAAAAGTCCTTTACCATTTTGCAAATAAATACGTAAATTTTCAAATTATCAATTAAAAGATCTTTTAGATATAGTCGTTTTAAATCATTAATAACTATTGCGATTTTTGCAAAATGGTATATTACTTTTCTCTTCAGTTTGATCTAATTAATCTTCACAATTTTCCGTTTTCAAAAGATCCCGGACATCCTATATAAAGATTCTGCAGGGGGCCCTTCATACATAGAAAGCAATACAGAAACTTTGTTTTAACTTAATATCTTTTATTATTATAAGTATTAAACTTACTTAGAATTCAGAATATATTTTAAGTAAATTTGACGCTTATGATGAATTTGTAATAGATTTGCGAATATATAAATTTACGAAATACTTCAGCAACTTGAAAATACTTGAAGCGACTTGAAACAACTTAAAGAAGTAACATTTACTTGAATGCAATATACATATTTTTCTATATGTATTTGTCATAAGAAACTATTATCTACGTTACGTTTTACATTGGTTAAAATTCAAAAGTTTAATAGATCTTTAATAATCTTTACAAAATCTCCATTTTTAGCATGTGATAAACTCATCAATTTAGTAAAGCAGAAAATTCAGCAACAACAAAATATTTTCTATACACAAATGTAATACATTAAAATAATTTGTGTGGTTGCACGTCAAAATCAGTTTAGACATTACAAAAATAGCTGAAAACGATTTCTAATATAATTATTTTTTAAGAAAGTGCAAACAAAAACTTTTTTCTCTTGCTAAAAAGATGAACAAATCAATATAGCATATGTAAATTTTATATTTCTTACAGTGTCACAGATCATACGAGGATAGTCCCAGAAGTACCTCACCTAACAAAGAAAACACAAAAAATCTGGGAAAAAATATCTTTATTTCTCTACATAGTCTCCTTTCAGCTCAATATACTTTTCCCAGCGATGTTCAATAGCTTCGATACCCTGTTTATAATGGGAATCGTCGAGCTCCTCAAAATGGCCATCAAGCCACCTTGGTCCATTGTTTTGACTGTTCCTTCGTCTCAGGTGTGAAGTGATGGACCCATGTTTCATCCTTGGTTATGAATCGACGCAAAAACTCGGCTTTATTGCTGCGAAACTTCGCCAAACACTCGATTGAAACATCCTCACGACGCTGTTTTTGTTCCAATCGCGGCACCATCTTGCGCACAGCTTTCTCATATCCAAATTTTCAGTCAATATGCGATGTACAGCACTTTTTGAAATGCCTACCATGTCTGCTAACTTGCGCACTTTCAGTCGACGGTCATCCAATACCAATTTGTGGATCTTCTTCACGATTTTTGGCGTGGTCACCTCATTTGGTCGACCACTGCGATGTTCGTCTTGGCAACTCATACGGCCTCGTTTAAACCTTGCCACCCAATATTTTACTGTTGTAAACGAAGGAGCAGACTCCCCCAGAGTAGAATCTAGCTCCGCTTTGATATTGGTTGGATTGAGGCCTTTCAAATGAAAGTATTGTATCACGTAACGATGACCAATTTTTTCCATGTTTACAAATTCACTGAGAGCGTTCACTATTGATGGCTGCCAAACAAATACCAAACAACGTAGCGTCATCAAACTTTAAACTTAAGCTTTATAAGGTTGATACTTTCTACTATAGTCATTCTTTTCTAACAACAACCGCTATTTATACGTCAGGTCAGGTACTTCTGGGACTACCCTCGTATATAGAAAAAAAGCAAAACTTTTTATATTATATTTTTATATGTCGACAACAAATGCTGTCCTTTACTTAGTTTTTCCCGGAAATCATGTTTCCAACTATCTTCCGTGTATACTTCCAATACATATTAATATCAAAATAGAATTGATAAAATGTAATCTCTTCTAAACATTTACCGGCAGCTCAAACTATTTCGACCGAAGGTCTAAAACGTCATTGAGAAATTTTAACAATACGATCAGTACGAGATGCAATATACTAAATTTACTACTAATAGATTAACATATTGAAAAGTGGTGCAATATTTGATCGATATATATAAAACTAACGTGAAAGTAAATAAGTTTCTAAACATCAATTCGTATCTATACAGGGTGCACGATTTATCTGAAGACATTGAAATATCTCGAGAACTATGCATTGGATAAAAAAAAGTGGTTAATAAAAGTTGTTAGTCTCGAAGGGGGACATCTAATGATACCAAACTCGGCCTCCCACCCCACCCCCTGGGGATGGGGGTTGGGGGCAACTTTGAAATCTTAAATGGAAACCCCCATTTTTTATTGCAGATACGGATTCTACGCCACAAAATACGTAAATTTTGTCCGAAACTTTTTTTTCGATTCGTGATAGATGGCGCTGTAATCGCAAAAAATTATATTTTCCGCAATTCTCCAGAAATGATCATTGGATTGAGAAATAAAAATTACCTGTTCAATATTTTTAAAGAAAATAATAAAAGTTATTCCCCCCCCCCATCCTCTCGGAGTAGGGTGGGTGATAACGTTAAAATCTCAAATGGGGACTCATATTTTTCATTGCAGAATTAGATTGTACGTGAAACTTTATTGAAACAATTTTTTTCATTCGTGATAGATAGCGTTGAATTTTTCCGAGAAACTACTTTTAGCGTTACACAGGAACAACGACGAGGACGTAGTAGTTTTATGTTCCCTTCGGGTGTTTTTTTAATGTGAGTCCCCTTGCCTCTCACAGACCGGGGTGCTTTTTTAATGTGAGTCCCCTTGCCACTCACTGTTCAATTAATTAGAGTAAGTGTTCGAAATTTTTACCTTCAACTTCAATACACTTATTGATCCTTTTTTCAAATGACTGTACACAGGATAGAAGCATATCTGCGGGAGTTTCAGCGCAAGCGTTTCTTATGCGTTCTACCATGTTTTCATGAGTTGTTGGCACTTGTTGATTTAAAAATATTGAACAGGTATTTTTTATTTCTCAATCCAATGATCATTTCTGGAGAATTGCGGAAAATATAATTTTTTGCGATTACAGCGCCATCTATCACGAATCGAAAAAAAAGTTTCGGACAAAATTTACGTATTTTGTGGCGTAGAATCCGTATCTGCAATAAAAAATGGAGGTTTCCATTTAAGATTTCAAAGTTGCCCCCAACCTCCACCCCCAGGGGGTGAGGTGGGAGGTCGACATTGGTATCATTGGATATCCCCCTTCGAGACTAACAACTTTCATTAACCACTTTTTTTTTATTCAATGCATAGTTTTCGAGATATTTCAATGTCTTCAGATAAATCGTGCACCCTGCATATATAGAGTATATAAAAAATACCGAGACGACAAAATATCTCGAAAACTAAGCATTTTATTAATTTAATAGAAAAAAGTATTCCAGACAAAAATTGCATGGAGACATAAAACAATTATATCATTTTGTTTACAGATAACGCCATTTTCGAAATATTCACTGACCGTTATTTTTCTTAAACGGAAATTTTCCCAATTTTTTATTATATCATCTTTTTCTACCAATTAATTTTAATAACTTTTGTCTGAAACATTTTTCCAAAATGCTTAGTTTTCGAGATATTTCGCTACGTCCCGGTACTTTTTATACACACTGTATGATCTAGCTATATTATAAAAATCGTTTACATAAAATTGTAAATACATTTATAATCAATCATTCCATTTCGTAAAAAGAAAGAAGAAATGTATTGGGCTGTTAATCTAAAGGGCAATAAATCTAAAGGCAATCTAAAGGCAATTAATTTAAAGGCAATAAATCTAAAGGGCTGTTGATCAAATTATTGCCGAAATATTTTAATCATAATGTAATCAATAAGATCTGTGTACGTTAAGACTTCATCAATGAAAGAAGCGAATGTAGTTTCAATAATATTTTAGAAAGATAAATAAGCAATGAGACAAAAAAGAGGAATAAAGAATCGCATTTATATTTTTTAACTTATTTCAGATCATTCTAAAGGCACAATATTATCGTGCGAACCATCCATTGAAATTGTTCCGTTATAATTCTGACAATAGTAAATATTCAAAAGATTCCGATATAGTTATATCGGAATCATATGATGATCCCGACAATGTGAAAAACGAGAAAGTGAGGATGCGTTCTTCAGGTAATGTATAAAGATCTCAAAACAATATTTCAACAATCAAACTAGGAGCTGGGTTGTGGTTAAAGATCATCTCTCTGTTTTTACACAATTTAACTTACAAAATAATAATGCAATCTTCGTTTAAACGCAACGCTCTTGTGTATACAGCTGCGGACAAGATTCGTAAGCCCAAAGAATCGGAAAACAATATTATATTTCCGGACGAAGACATCTTGCAAGTGCGTACCGGCGATGATATTGCAAATCTTGAATACGGTTTGGTGCCAACTTGTAATGAGAAAAATTTCTGCGAAAAAGTTCCATATTATCCCACGAAGTTGGTGAATGAAATCCTCAGGAACAATCCCAGTCTGATGAATTACGCGACTGTGGACGCCGTCAGTAGAACCGTTTCTTTTTCCGTATGCTTTTCTTATCTTTTATATCTTTAAAAATTTTTTTTTCTCATATTAACAGGTGGAAACTATTTCGCATCGGGCAGGCTTAGGTGACGACGAGCTTTGTACTTCTATGGTATGTAGAAACGTCTTCAAACTTGGGTTTTACTATCAATGTAGCAGCTTTCGATTGCGCGGACATTAATAAAAGTGGTGTAATTTCAGGTAAGTTTGATAAACCCCAGATCGGCCAAAAACATAAATGACGATTGGCTGTTTATCGTACAATCAGAGGACTCGAATTTCACTCAAGCTGTACGAGTCGAAATTTGCGGGTGAGTATTGAATTAAGAAATGTTTACAAATAATAGTTTGGCGGTTTTTTAATGTTTATGTATTGTATAATACAATATAATACAAACATATGACAAGAGAAAAGACACATGGGTATACATGAACATGAGTAGTTACTTTCATGAAGGTAAGATGGAATGTTACGAAGTAATGTAACGTATGTTCTGTTTCTTGAAATTTTTAAAAAAGGTAAAAAATGGCACCAAGTACACGCGCTATATAAAAATGTTTATTAGTTAAATATATTATAAGAAGTTAAAACTTTAATAAAGAATATATTTAGAAAAGTCATATAGTACAAAAATCTGTTTAAATCAATTTTTTCTAAAAAAAATTATGATATTAAAAAGTTACGCCAAAATAAAAATGAAAATTTGTACATCATTTATATCATATTTGACATTCAAAATGTTATACCCAATAAAATATTAACTTAAACAAAAATATGGCATTTTATAAAATACAAAAAAATATTATATCCAATAAAATATAAATTTGTATATCAAGCCTTGATATTAAAAAAAAGAAATATATATATATATATATAAAAAACTGTTGTATAAAATAGTTTTGCTTTAAAAACTAAAATTTAAGGATTAAAAAATTTGAAACATTTAAGTATTGAATCTAATTAGCTTGGAAATATAGTTGGCTACATAAAAATAAGAAATATTTAAATAACAAATATATTGTAGAAGAACAATTTTATATTAAATCTACTTTTCTTAAAAAAGTAATTATATCAGAAAGTTGTGTCAAAATTAAAATATTAATTTGTACGCTACGGCTTAATATTAAAAATGGAAAAGTCTTGAAAATTTATATACAGCTATATAATATATTAAAAGTGGAAAAGCTATTTACAAAATATTTTACTTTCATGAAAGTAAGATGGAACGTTATGAAGTAACGTAACGTATGTTCTGTTTCTAGAAATGAAGGCACTTCTTGTAAAACAATCGATGGTGTCAATTTAGGATACAGTACAACGTGCAAGCAGAAACTTATTTATCGCCAACTGACGGCCATCTCCTATCAAGGCGACATCATTCGCGATTTATTCCCGATTCCTGCGAGTTGTTGCTGTCATCTTATTAACGATCTTACGCTTCAAGATAAGAGTGTCAAGTCTGTGGAAGAAACCAGTGGAAGAAACGCGGCGTAATCTCCGAATTACGCAAGAGACATTTGAGAATACTTAAAAGTTTAAGACAAAATATGTAGGACTTGAATATCAAGCGCAATTCTCGATTATGAAATTATGTTTGGCCACGGAGTTTCTTACAACTCAAAGCCGAAGAGGATACGTCACTCGTGACTAAGAATCTTTGAGAACGTTATATGTCGAATAAGATATTTTGATGATCTGAAAGAATGGACATTAAAAGACCATGCAAATCGACAAACGAATATTTGTGAACAAAATATGCGCTCCCATGTTATTTCAAGTGTGTTCTCATCTCGTCGTTAACATTAGTATAACATCATCTCCATTAACCTTCATGAACGAATCGTTAGATAAAACGATTATATGGCTCATTATTCTAAAAGATCTTCTTGGAATGCTTTGAAATCAGCAAGAGAGACTTCATCAAGCCGACGGGAAATATTTCCCAATCTATTTCATAAACAGCGGTATCGATTTTGGCGCTCTAAGCGCAAGTAAGAATAAGGGCCAAAGTTTACAAGACAAGCTTGGTGAATTCTAAACTCGAAGTGAACGCGAGGAATACATTTCGACAGAAATATAACTTTGAACTACTAACTTGGAATTACTAATTTTAAAGTGTCCGGCCTTGAGCATTACTTCGTTGTCGAACCAGCGATACAAATAGATCTGCATTAGCACGCAACCCAGATAAGATAAGCTCGAAACTCGAAACTCAACAGACTCTTCGTGGACATCTTGTAAATACTTAGACAGAGCACCGTCGAGTTCACGGCGAACTGTACGAAGATCATTACTGCGAACACCGAATTGATGCGTTCCGCGAGTCTACATAAGATGTAAAATTAGTCAATCGATGCGTTTTATGCTCGAGTGACTTTTTTTTCCCTCGATCTCACCCGTATATGTAGCGATGATGGCGGACAAACTTGCGAATTATCCATCGTTCGTGCGTTTTCATATTTCTTTTCGAGGCGCAGCTACGCTATTTTTGGGACTCTCTTCTCAACGTGTTCGGCAACATGCGAGCACGATGGCAAAGCACGTGTATGTCCAGTTGGGAACAAGTCTGTAGCATGAAGCCGAAGATGAGCGTCTCGTGAGCGACGCTGGCGTTCCAGTGCAACCATCAAACCGATGGTCTAGTGCAACATGGTGGCCCAGAAGTTATTCATCGGTGTGATGTTGTAGGATACCTAGTCGGACAGCAGTAGGATGTGGATGTTGGCGAAATACCGGAACTGGGAAACTGTGGCGAGAAAAACAGCCAACTCGTTGAGTATCTCGCATAGTGATCGTCCTGAGAAGATATTCTTGGTTCCATAAATTGGTGGTATACGTTTAGAAATTTCTTAGATAAGGTAAATGTCCCTATTTGTGACCATGTAAGGTTTTCACATGAGTTAATAAGAAAAAAGTACTCTAGAGTGATTCAAAACAAGAAAATTATACCGAACTCAAGATTAATCATTTTTATACTGAAAAAATTGTTTTGTTCGAGTTTTAAACATAATCTAATAAATATTGAAAGAGAAATTGCAAACTATGTAAATGTACATATTAGTGACTGCTTAATTGAAGTTTGGCCCTATTTGTGATCGTGATTTGTCCCGGTTGATGACCGGGGTATCAAATTGAATGTACCATTTTTTTTCTAGTGTACTTAGTGATCTCGTTTTTTCTCTATAATCGGATTATTAGATTTGTTGTTTTCTATTTAGTGCTGATCAAATGACTTTATTATACAATAAAATATTTTATTGTATTTGATAAAAAAATCACTCAATAAATAATTGGACAAGTAAGTAATTTGAAACTGTGGTCACAAATAGGTACAAAATACACGATGATCCAATTAGTGACCTAACCTGACTAATAGCGGTGTCGCTAGTTTTCCCTCCAGCATATGTCAAATATATTTTTGTTTATTCATATAAATGCAAATTACATTCATTTAAAAGCGTATGGAGATAAGTATTAATTATGTTTCTTTAGAAAATAGCAGCGAAATTTACTATTATGATTAATTTTCTTGAGCCGGTCACAAACAGAGACATGCGTATTTAGTTGTACCCATTTATAACTTTCACCTAAATACTCAAAACCACTAACTTTTTTTACAATCTATAAATAGTATAACACTCGTCAGTCCTTTACTGATACTTTTTGCGCAAAATTACTCTTTAACCTTTATTTCTGATAACGTAACCAAACTATTATTGTGCCGTGACAAATGTCACATTTACTACGTGCCGACAAACATGCCCTCGATCTGTCATTAATAGTGACACAAGCGCCTTATTTTCACGTATTTGTTACTCATATACCACTGAAACCATATATCAAACCGTAGCTCATTAATTGCTAAACATAAAGAATATTTTTTTAAATTACTTAAAATTTATGATTAGTTTAATAAAAGTTCGCGAGTGGTCATAGATAGGGTCATGGTCACAAATAGGAATATTTATCAGGTATACAAATGAATAATCTAAATTATTTTAAGCAGTTATGAAATTAATTTTAAATTGAATAGATTTTCCCGCTCTTTTGTGATTATGCAATGTTGACATATAGCTATTAAAAAGAACATATAGTTTGGCGAAAGGTCCAACATAACCTTCAAAAGTATTCAGTTCAGTACAGTCGAAAATGGCAACATATGAGGTGCATATCCGACACTGCATTTTTTACGAATTCCAACAAGGAAAAAATGCTGCAAGAGCGTGCGAATCGATTTGTTCCTTTCTCGGCGAAGGTATTGTATCGTACGATGCGTGCGCATTTGGTTTAAGCGGTTTAAAAGCGGTAATTTCAATCTAATCGACAAACAACGCCCTGGAGGCCCTTCGAAGTGTGATAATGATGATTTGGAACAACTGCTCGCTGAGAATTCGGCACAAACACAAAAAGAGCTTGCAGAACAGTTGGGAGTAACGCAGCAAACGATTTCTAAACGCCTACATGAGATGGGAAAGGTCCAGAAAGAAGGAAAATGGGTTGCGCATGAACTTACTGAAACTAACAAAAATCAACGAGTGGCAGCGTATCTTTCTCTTCTCAATAAGCAGCGTCGAAAATCTTTCTTGTGGAAAATCGTTACGGGCGATGAGAAATGGATACTCTATGACAATCCGAAACGCAGAAAGTCATGGATAAATCCCGCCGAATCATCAAAATCGGTCGTAAAACCCAATCGCTTCGAAAAGAAGGTTCTTCTCTGCATTTGGTGGGATATCAAGGACGTGCTTTATTATGAGTTGTTGGAACTGGGTGAAACAGTTACTGCGGACTGCTACCAACGTTAATTAATCTGCTTGAGTCAAGAATTGGAACGAAAACGCCCGTATACTGGCAAAAGAGAACGTCCAGTGAGATTGTTACATGACAACGCCAGGCCACACATTGCTTCCAATACAAAAGACACCATAATGAGTCTTGGCTGGGACGTCTTGCAGCACGGCCGGCGTATTCACCAGACATTGTTCCATCCGATTATCACTTGTTCCGTTCGATGCAACACGCCTTGTCCGATATGCACTTCCAATCAGTGGATGAGATCCGAAAATGACTTGACGACTTTATCGTGTCCAAAGACGTAACATTTTTCCGAGATGGAATTCATCAGCTGCCTGAAAGATGGCTTAAAGTTATAGAAAGCAACGGCGAATACTTTGATCGAACAATTTAATTTACTCTCTTTTAAAATAAACCTTGAATGTAGCTGAAAAAATTGGATTATTCATTTGTATATCTAATACCTTATTATTGCTTAGATATTAATCTCTTATGTACGAAAAGCAATTTATATGACATTAAATTTTAATTTACAAGATAATTTGAAGCTCTCTTTCTTTTCTTTTTCTTCTGGGTCAAACCTATGACGATACGCACTTTGCGCACTACGATCGAATCGTTGCTGGATGTTCGCCTCGTAATTGTTCCTGGGCACGCAAATTTCATTCAGTAGTATCTCAGTCAGATCGACAATTCTGTCCCGACGTATTACCCCAGGTTCATCACCTTGCAGCACACACCCAGCACCGACAGAAACAACGAGAATCTCTTGATGAAGATGTCGAGGTCCTCGATTAAGATGCAATCGACCAGACTGCAAAATGCGAACGAGTGAAGCAAAAAAATCATGATGGCAGAGTAGAAATTGTACGGCCGATATTTGATTGAAGTCAACGAACAGCCAACAAGTCGTCAGTAGCCGATGTACATTAATAACGCGAATGACAAGGGAAGAGTGTATATAATCTTTGACTCATGAGCGAAGACTCTGAGGATTTTCACGAGTAAAGATCAGGAACAAAATACGTTGCGGATACCACAGTCTCCCGAAATCGTAAAATTGCATATTGTGATCTCTTATCACTATTGTAGTACCATCATACTACATCTCTTTATCGCCTTCAACGTACGAAAAAAAATTACCTCGACTTCCGCTGCGATAGATAGTTCATAAAACATAAATTTTGCCAGTCGTCATAAGAGACATTACAATATTACGGAGTTCTGTCATATGTTATTAACTGTCTAGTCGGGTTGCTTGTATAAACGTTTATAGTTATCTTACAGTCTTATCACAGTTATCAAAAATTAATGTTAGCACAAATGCTTTCGACCATTATCGCAATCGATATATAGGGATCGACATTATAGTAGACAGAGTTGTAGTCGACAGAGAGCAAGTCGACAAAATTATATCATAATGAAGCAAATTACAAACGTAATTCTGTGAATTATGTATACATCTTATTCGATTTTGAAATTAATCTCGCTAACAGCTCTGAAATCTATCGTGCTCGAGATGCTGGCTCATGAATATCAAATTTATCAGATTCTATACGAGAAATAGGTTACTATTATAGAATATATTGTCTCTCTATCCTAAATGATTTTGCGCCCCGGACAAAACTCTCTTTATAAACATTATTTTAGATTAAACAAGACGTTCGTATAATAAATTTCAGTCCTTCCGAAATAATCTCCGTTTGCAACTTTGTCTTTATTAAGTAGGCTAAACGGGTATAATTGTTGTTGGTAACGGTCAGCCGTGACTATTTCGTTCAGTTACCGTAGCTTATAATAAAGCATGCCTTCCCACTAAATACAGAATAATGCTTTATGATCGTGAATATTTCGTTTTTTGTCGCTGATGTGGATGGTTTGCCGAAATCCATCCGTAAATTTCTCCACTTGGGATTATTTAAATAAATCTACTTTTCATCGTCAATTAAAACATGCCACAAAAATTTCTTTTTTAATCCGGTAAGCAAGGAAGTCGCGATGGACAAACGATTCAAGATGACATTCATTTTGAGACTAACCATGTGGTAGCCATTTTTCTTCCTTTTAGATTTTTCCCATAGCATGAAACGTTCAAAAATTTTAGCCAATTTTTAGTTTAGCCATTGAAGTAACATTCAACATTTTTGACAATTCTTCGAGTGTTTGAGTTGAATTTTCATCCAATAATGCTTGCAATTTGGCGTCAAACTTTTTCAGCCGTCCGAAACTGTTCTTTATCTTCCATATTAAAATTACCACATCTGAATCGTTTAAACCATTCTCTACACGTTTTTTCTGATGCAACTTGTTTACCATAAGTTTCAGAAATCAATCGATGCTTTAGCTGCAATTTTCTCCAAATCAAAGTAGTGAAGAAGTATATGTCGAAGAAGCCACTCTTATCACGATTCTTTTTAAATCGTTTGAAAAATTATTTCTGTTTTCACCAAAATTAACCTTTGCTTACTGAATTTTATTGATAGATGTCTAACCTTTAAAAGACAATTAGCTTTAGCTTTAGCTCAGAGCTTGTTACTTTTGCTACTGGAATCATCTATCGTGAGCAGCGGAAACTAAGTTTATCACCTAATAATCTCGCGTAGTTTCGTTAGTCATTTGACTCGTCTATAATTGCTTTTTCAAGTTCAGTATTACATCTTTTTTATTTCTCAATAACCTCGGTCGAGGCAAGTTCGACGCAAAATTGTCGAATACTGCACGAAAGCTTGCAAACATTTGGCATATAAGAAGGAAATTATTGTGCGTTTTGCAATTCTATTTTTCAATCCCCTCACCGTTTGTACTACGAACATTCGCGTGTGTCACGGAACCAAATCAACTGACGAAAAGTTAATATCTACCTATGACTTTAGGAAGCTGGAAAAGGAGATACTTGCCGATATTGTCAGTGATGTAGCTGCCGATGGAAAAACCGATAATGTACAATTCTGCCAGGTCGAAACTTTACTCTACCATGAGTTTGAGAAAGAACGCAACAGTGGCTGCAATTTTTTAAGCCTTCTGTATCATTATCGGCTATGTTGCATTCGCAAATTTAGTGTAACTTAACTCGATGATATTGTTGCACTCACGC